CCGCTCTAACCATGCATTTTCTACTATTCCAATCATGAATGATCTAAATTTTCATATGAACATAAAGTTCACATAATTGTGATCTGTATTTGCATTATGTTATTCTAGAATATGAAAATTTTGTATCAAGATTTAGAAACACAATGTGACAAATTTTGTGACAAACAAGAAAAATAGATTAAAATAATATGTCATAGATTTGCAATCAATAAGCAGAGAGAGTTGGGATGTTTGCAACTTGATTTGATCAACATTTTTGAATCGAATTCACACAAGGATTTCCAATTGTGCTTGTGTGAATTGCCGACTACATATGAAAAAAAAAAAACTAGTTCCTGCAAACAAATTAAGACATATTTATTGCATGATTTACATATATTTAATACTTTTATTGGTAGTCACAGATTTTTGTGTGTATACATCTAAAATCTTGCTTTCAAAATTGCAGATAAGTATAGGAAAATTCATCATGTTAAAAAAAAAATTGCAATTTTTTATTTCATGTAAGATGAAAACAACCTATACAAGGAGACTAGATGTGTCTAGTGTTTTTTATTCCTGAAATATTTGCTGATGATTTACAAGAGGATTCAACATCATCAATACATTTATTACACACAAACATAGTAATTATTGCAAATAGTACAAAAGTTGAAACCCAAAATTTTTCAAAACTACGTCAAGAAGTGAGAGATCACGAGCATAAAAATGTATACACGCTAGAATTCAAAATTTTATTGGATGAATTCAACTATATTAAATTTGAAGATAAGATGATAAATAATAATTAGAAGATGAGATGATTCATTTATGATATTGTACATCAAGATAGATTAGTATTAACAACTAGACATTCTTTGGATATAAAAATTTGATACATGACATAGATATAAGTAACTTAAAATTTGGTCAACATTGTATCATAGTTTAAGCATCACAAAAAAGTTTTTGAAATTAAAATTCATATTTTTAATAGTTATATTGGAATACATATAATGACATCAAGAAATATTTTTTGAATTACTCACTCTTTGAGAATTTATATTATGTATCATTTAGGTATGATTATGTAGATTCAGTTTTTTTACAATAAAATTTAGGGTCTTTTAAATCTTTTCAACTTTTGTTAAAAAGTTGAAAAATCCACGTTGAAACTTAGATTAAGCACAAGGTAAAATTTTCACCTTCTATAATGAATAAGTTTTATAAAACATTTACGTATAATGATGAAAAACATATTTTTAAGGAGTTTAGAAGTTATTTCAAAGAGCAGTAGATTACTTGGCAATTCATTTTGATTTAACTCGAAGTTATATTGAATAGCTTTAATCTAATAGGTTTAAAGTACATGTTGAGTTAAATCTAGTTTACAATATGAATTTTAAGTTAAGATTGTTAAAGATCTAATGTATTAGAATAATATTTTTTCTCATAATACATAAAGATTCTAAACATCATTTTGTAATGAGTTTCAAATGGATGACTGATTATTGTTATCTAAACATAACATTATCAATTTCAATCGCATAATTCTTCTTATTATGTAGTTAGAATTGAGTAGATTATGAATGAGAATATCAAATGAATATATATTATTTATGATCCTTTCACAGTTTAATTTATATCTAGCATAATAAGGAAATTTTAATTCTATATATTAGACTTTTTTGGATAATATGTTAACTTTTCATTTCATGTAAAAATTTATTACATTTTTTTTGCAGAATATAGTGTGTTTAAAATCAAATTTGGATATTTTTTATATAATTTAGTATAAAATTACAAAATTCATTGTAAATACTACTAATGATTATTTTTGCTCAATTACATAAAATTTAATAAAAACTAATGATAATAAAAATAAGTATATATGAAAACATAATATTAATCAATTTTAATATTAGAAAATAATTGTGTTTCCATCATGAGTGATATCATGTAATTTAACAACTTAAAAAAAAATATTTTTTCAATTTATATTTTAGTGAATCAATTCAATGTTACTTTTTAATCCAATTAATCAAATGAATAAAAAAAGTCACATATTGAAACAAATATTTTTCATTGAGAAAAAATATACTGAACTCATTCAAAATTCTGAAATATTCCAATAAGATACTAAATTAAGACTAAATAAAATTTGGTTTTTATGAACTAAACTGAATGACCACTTATTTAAATATATGCAATATTTTTTATTTATCTACAATATTTACAATTATAAAATTCTGAATTTTATATTCATATAAAAACCAAGAGATATATATATAGAATAAAATATCTGGAAAAATATATTTTATTTCTTTTGATTCATCATAATGTTCAACTTCATTTATCATAATTAAATAATTTCATACATTTAAAACTTGAAGAAGATTAAAATGTTTCATTCAAATATAATTAAGATTTTTTTTTATATCTCTTCTTCAATAATTGTATTATCTCATGACTTCATTTTGTGTGTGTGTTTTAAATAAAGTATTTTGATATTTTTCGTAATTATTGAGCCTGTTTAACACGTAAATAATTAAAAATTGAAGTTTTTCAAACTTCATCAATTTTTCATTATTTGATGATTTTAATTTGATAATTTTATTATTATTTTTTTCTTATATTTTAAATCAATTTTCAAAAAAAGTTTTGAGTCAACACTACACCAGCCAAAAAGATGGTTTTTGTGAATGATGGATGATGTTTTGTTGATGGATTCTAAGTTATGTAATACTTTTACATGTATTATCTCCTCCCATATGAAATTTCATCTTTGATCAATATCATACAAAATGTAATGAGCCTATATATTTACAATTGGTCAGGATTCAATTTGTAAGAAGTTTTCTTTACGTTTCATTGAAAAAATGATATTACGTTTTTTCAATGACATATTTTACAAATTGAAGTTCTTCATGTCATAGTTTTCATCCAAACGAAGTAATTGTCCTCCTTAAAATAGATTCATTTTGTTCCATTAACAGATCTGAAGTTTCTAGCTTTTATTTACTGAATTACCTCAATCTATTTAAAAATGTCAAAAAATTTAGAATTTCATTACTTTAAAAAAATTCCAGATTTTATAACAGATGGAAATTATATCAAAATACTGACACCTATTAAAATTTCTTCAAAATTCCACATACTATTTGAATGATAATCGACATTGACACTACTAAATGCATTTAGATTTCTTGCAAAGTGTCTTTCACATTTCTATACTTCTTTAAACTTTTGCCTGAGTTTTAAATCTTTTCAGTTGTTTGTCAAAGTAGTTTCAATTGTTCTTTATAACTGTGACTCTAATTCTTCATAAAACACAATTATTCGAACAAATCTTAATCATTATCAAATTTTTGTTCTTAAATGCATGTTTTGAAAAAAATCCAGATCAAAAATGAATTTTTGAAATTTTTGAAAAACAATTCGAAGATTTCGATTCGAATTCGAAGAACGTTATCATGTCTTGATTGCCAACAAATCCTTTGTATGTAAAAAGTATATATGCGTGTATATTCAGGATATCAAAATAAAAAGAAAATATTTTTTGCAAGTCAAATTGTTGATGATTTATCTAAATTCTGCTAGTTATGATGTACATGAAACTCATCAGTACTTTCTTAGATATATAAAGTCAAAATCGTATGATTGAAAATAAAAACAAATCTTTTGTCCAACGAATAGCATCAAAGCTTTTTGACCTAGATTCTTAAAACTAAACATTTTATTTTTTTTCCATGGGTTATGTCTGTATTCTTGTATAATCTATTGATAACATAAAAAAATTTCAAGATCTTGATTTTTTTTATCTATTTGAATAATGTGTAAGTTATAAAAATAACTGATTCCAAAATTCAAAGGAATATATTTTCACTGGAACAAAGGCAGAATTATTTTTTATTCTGTAACAATAAAAATTATCTATAAAATTTTACACATTTTTTTTAAAATAAAATAAAATAAACCTTTCAAAAATTTATGTAAAGAAAATCATATAAAATTACAAAAAGTCAAATGATATCATACTAAGTTCAAAATATTTTATTGAATTTTACACATTTATTAGAATATACAGTTACATTAATCTAGATTGATTTAAAACTATATTTCATGTATTAAAATGAATAATTATTATATTCTGAGAATTCTATTTACATTTTCTAATGTATGCATAAATTTAGTTTGATATTTTATTTATTAAAATAAGAGTACGAATTTCATTTTAAATGATCTAGTTAAATTAATTAGTATATTATAAATTTATTTAGAATTGCAACTCCTTTAGTATTGTATGCATTGCGATAGTATGCATATATAATACGTCTGTCACAAACAAGTTATATCAGTTACATACTATCGCAAATCAATGAAATACTTTTATCATGCTTTACTGCTGGGATTCCATGGTGAATGTTGATTCAAATGCCTCATGAGTGATTCTTCAAGCTCATCTTCTTGTAAAAAAGACTCCCGTTTAAGAACGTATTCTAGTTAAATATGCACTATTTTCCCATAAAAGTAGGTATAACATTCATTCAGTTCAAAATGTCATGAATTGTCATGTGGCGCAAGTTTTGAAGATAAGATTCTTGCTTTTGAAACGATTCAAACAACTTTCTAAGATGATTAAACTCTTCTCAAACTTAGCAGGAGAGCAACCGGAGCTTTATATCAAAACATTGCTTATCAAATGACTTGATGCCTTAAGTACAAGAATCTGACTCTTGAGATATAAACAATTTATCTCTCAAGCTATAATATCAATATTATTGTCATCTTCCAGATTTTCTTCAACCATCTTCACAGTCTTTCAAAACTGGAGTTGTAAATATTTCAGTGTTTTCATCATCGACATGAACCAATCCTTAATGTTCTTCTTGCCCAGCAGAAAAGTTTGAAGTTGTAATAGATTGTGCAACTTGGATCAATGAAACCTTTATTTTGTTCAGTGGTTCCCATCAACTTCTAATGTCATCATTTGTATCTTTACAAATACATTTTCGATAGAGTTTGATGACATGGATTGTCAAAACTTCTTTAATGTAACTTGGAGAATAGTAGATGAGTTGGACTTTTGTATGCACAACCAGCAGGTTTGTGTCTTAATCTCCGTGCTATTTAGAATTTAATTTAGATTTGCTTCCGCCGGTTCCACACCTTTTTTTTACATCTCTTTCACTAACATCGTACTCTAGCGCTAGAGCTTTTTACGAGAGCATTGTATCGGATGCTTATAATTCTGGGGATACACTTTAGTTTGAGAACATAGTACTACGGAAATAATCAAGCTTAAGAATAATCGAATTGCCTAGAAATATCCTTGGTTATGGAACTAGCGTATCATAGAGAGGTTTGAAGAAACCTTCACTGAGAGGTTTGTCAGCGTCCGGCAAAAAACGCGCAGCATCAGTTGCAGATTGCCTGTAACCCGGAGCAGGCAAAATGTGGACGGTCCGCATCGAATGCAAAGTCTTCGCCCAAGTGTTTGTAAATGATGAAATGAGGATTTGGGTGAACCAATTGTTGATTAGATTTCTAGTAAGGGTCACGGGCTAAAACCTGGTTGAGTGAGTTCACCATCCAACGCAAATCTTCGGCAATATTCCTCGAGTTGCGGACAGACGCCGATGCTAAGTAGTAATTGATGATCGTGTTCAGAACCGAGACGGAGATGGCAGTGGTGATCGAAGATTACAGACTCCGATGACAGATAGCTAAGATGACAGACTGACTATTCACTAATTAAAAGCTCACCGCAGCACCAATCTCGCCACCAAAACACGTCTGCTGCCGTTTCTGCAGACCTGCACGACGTTGCCAGGCACGCCGAATCCGAAATATCCGAGGTGATCACACAAAGTTATTGGAATGTGCAGGTAGGTAGCACGCGAATTTCTAAGAATATATTCACCTGATTTCAGCCTCAGCACAATGTCGCTCAATTCGAAGTAAATCGAGATCATTCTCTTCTATCAAATTTATAGTAAATTTCATCCAAATTATAGTAAATTTTAGCGTAGACAACAGATGAAGCGCCACAATAGTCGCTAGATACAGTCACTTTCCTAAGAAAAGATTCAGAGTGTTATTACTTGACCCTCTGTCTCACATACTCTGCAACATCTTCAACCTAAATATACACTGGGTCTCCAATCACTGGACCAAACATTTAACACAGGATGTCCGCGGCCGGGTTCATATCTTTCAAGAGCCTGCCGCTGCAATGCCCAACTTGTGTTTCGAAGGCCAGATTAATAAAGTTCATGCCTGCTCATCTTGAACAATGCATGATCTCAGAGCAGGTTGACATCCGAGATCTCGTTTGGCAGACTAATTCTACACAGCAGTGAAGCTGTGGGATCTAGTTCAACTTGATTAAGGTTGATGTGGAGGAATTGATGAAGGCAGCTTTCTGAACTGTATTCAAAGATGTATAATTTTCTGTTGTGGTGTGACCGTATCTAATGGACACAGTCATCTACCACGTCAGCTGACAGGGACAGATCAAGCAATGGAGCTGCTGGCGCTCTTATGCCAAAGATAGTGGAGCAAGACAGCATGAATCTTCTCGCTCTACTGAACGGAGAAAACCAGTTGAAATATCATCAGAGAAGCAAAAATTGGCTGCTTCATTGTTTGGTGGTCCATCAGGTTCACGGGCGGCAAACACATGCAACGCAGTAAAGCCTTCATGGACTGCTGCACACAAAAGTCAAGCACACAAAAGTCAAGTACCTAGAGGAGGCGAGAAACATCGGTCTTTGAGATCAGTACCTGGTTCTGGGAGGATCGCTGACAGCGATACGTCAGTACCGAGTTCCGCACCAGTTCCACAAGCACCTCCTCCAGACCTCCTTGATTTGACTGATGGTGAACCGGGACACGCTGCTCCTTAGAACGACCCCTTCAAGCTCCTCGAAGGACTTGTAGATCCACAAGTCGGCTACACTTCAGCTACGTCAGCACCTCTTGTCAAAGCCGATGTAGATCTGATGTCCTTGTATGGACCTGGCCAAGTAATTTCCTCCAGTGATGGAGGGAGCCAACCATCAGGTTTAACTGATATGTCTGGATTGCCTGTCAGTCCACTGATAGGATTAACAGGTGTAGTTGTTCCTAATATACAACCTGGTGGTCCTTCCCTAGGCAAAAAGGGACCCTCAGCTCAAGGTTCATTGCGAAAGGATGCAACAGGGGTGACACCCACGGTTGTAAACCCGGACTTGTTCAAAGTTCTACTTGGCTAACTTTGTGTCTGGCCCAATTTATATCACCAATCTACAGCCCCTGGCTCGATTGATGAGATATGTCATGCGTGAAGTTTGCAAGTGGTTTGGGTCTGTCACTGTGGGTACTTCGGAAGAATCTTCTCATTAGCAGCTGTTTGATCCATCAAAAGAAATGTAGACTTGGTTGATGTGGATTTTACGGTTGGAAGGTTTGTACAGTAATCGTACAGAACGAAAATTAGGGCCGCTGAGGAGCTCAGTAATTCGCAGGGAAGTGAGTCGAATTCTACCTTCCCCCTCCATGAATTAATGCTACTGAAGTTTATAGAGGCCGGCATAGACGTCTTTTCGTTTCTTTTTGAGAATTTAGGACCACAGCCGATGTGTAGCAGCTTCATGGCAGCCAAAGAAATGTTCCTCAATTTAGTTATTTCTGTGCATACGAGGAATTCTGTGATTTAGGCACCACTGAAAACAGATCGATTTCCAAGGTTTTGAACTTTGTCGTTTACTCTCGTTTTGATCTGTGCAAATGTATGTACAGATGGCATTCATTGCATCCTTTGTCAGATAGGAAGTTTGATAAGCTTTGGTTTTACATATCTTAGGTCGTCAACACTTTTTTTTTCATTGGGACTTCCCATATCAGAGGAAACGTTTGCATCTGTCACATTTGCAGATTGACAGAAGGGTGGCATCAGGGCCCAGACTGTTTAAACTAGTTGAAATCAGTTAAAGAACTGCAGAGCCTGATAACAGAATCTGTATATCCTTGGCTTCACGCCAAGGATATAAAATGAAATATATATATATATATATATAATAAATATATACAGATGGGAAATTGAAACAAATCTGAGGATGCTCACAATCTGAAGAGTCATCAGAATCATCTTTGCCTGTGGACATTTTGGCTGACAGTACATGTCGCAGACCATCAGTACTTCCTGAAATTTAAAACAATGATGTGTATGGGGTGTCAGAGTATTTACGTATATAGGGGCTTTAAGCTTTATTTCAATTTCGGCACTTCTCGTATTTAAATGAAAAAGCTTCCCACCGCTGTGTCACTGAAACAGAGTGTAACCGGTCACCAGAACAAGTGCAACAAACGGAAAATCATTCGAGTTTGGGGATCTGGGCAGGGCCAGCCCTTTCGAACAGGTTTTCAATTGTTCGATCTGACGCAAGGAAATCCTCCAGAAGGCACCGAGTTAAGACCTGTGTTTATCAGACGAAGGATGGCGACGTGTGCCTCGAATCATTAAATCCAGAGAAATTCTTGATAGTCCTATTGTGTAGCCTTGAACTGGATAGCAAACTAAGATTGATGTCGTTTATAAATTTTGGAGGTGGAAAACAGAAGGTTTCTTACAACAGACAACTGTAATCTCTCAGCTTCTCTTTTGTTGGCACTCTTGCCGCAAATGTGCAGATGAATTATTGAACACATGTATCATGTTTATAACTCTCCAGATGTCCAGTTCAGATATATATATGTTTGAATATTGTTCTCGACAATGTCACAACTGCTGATCCTTTACTACACGCAAAGACTCACGATCTGCTTGGATAGATAATTGGATATAGTGCGCGAGGAGAAGCGAGTGACTCTGAAATAACGCATGGCTGTCTTCAGACGGAGAGATCGACTTGTTGACAAAACTAGGTCTTATTGACCATGCGCACAGAGCCTTGCGGGCGAAAAGTTAGTCACCGAAAAGTATTTTCCCGGACAAACAACATGAAGACCAGCAACTTCAGTCTTCATCCAGAATTCCAACACTAGGCCATCTACGGTTTTAACCGTAGATGCCCCTGAATTTTTTTAATTTTTTTTTATATTTAAAAAATAAATAAAATAATTTTTATGATCCAGGTATCAAAATTTTCTTTAATGTAATTTACATACTTTTTTATTTTCGTATCAATGAAAAAAAACAGAGATGATGATCTTCATATCTATATAATTATAATTCAAAAATTTTATTTATTAATAATTAAATGAATTATTGAGTTTATACTTCTAGAATTCTTTTGTCTAGATTTTGTGTATAGTTGCCATTAACGTGCTAGAATTAAACTCAGATCTTATAGTAACTTAGATTAGATCAACTCAAATTATTGAAGTTGGTTAAAAAATCACTATATATAAGAGAGTTCATAAAAGATCTAGTTCACACATTTCAAGATTTTTTCAATAAATTCTAAGTTATTATTGAGTATTAATCCCTACTTATCATCCATATGTCTCCATGCATGTCTATGCATTTTCTACTATTCTCATGAGGAATAATCTAAAAAATCATATGATCATACATTATGTTATCTTGTATTTGCATTATGTTATTCTAAAATATGAAAATTTTCTATCAAGATTTGGAGAAACGACTTTATGAATCTTGTGAGAAACAAGAAATATAGATTAGATTATTACATCATAAATTTGCAAGCAATAAGCAAAGAGAGTTGAGATGTTTGCATCTTGATTTGATTGATTTTCTTGAATCTATTTGGCTTGCAATTTACACCAGCATTTCCAAGTGTGCTTGTGTGAATTGCATATATGAATTGCCGACTATATGTGAAACAAAAGGAGAAACAAATTGAGCCACATTCACGGCACAATTAATGTAATTTCATACTTTTCTTGGTGTTCACAAATTTTTTTGTGTATGCATCTAAGATCCTGGTGTCAAAATTGCAAACGAATATAGTAAAACTTCATCATGCTCAAGAAGAAATTGCAATTTTTTAATTCATGTAAGATGGAAACATTCTATACAAGACAAAACACAAGGAGATCAAACACGTACATATTTTAACATGAAATTTTGAAATCTTTATAACTTTTGAAAGTTGAAAAATCCACGTTGAAACTTAGATTAAGCACAAGTCAAATTTTTCACCTTCTTTCCTATAATTTGTATAAGAAATTTACGTATAATGATGAAAACCATATTATTAAGTAGTTTAGACATTATTTTCAAACAGGAGTAGCTTACATATTTTCTCATTTTGATTTGATTCAAAGTTGTTTGAAGCTCTTCAGTAGAATAGGTTTAACGTAAATGTTCACTTAAATCTAAATTACAATATGAGTTTTAGGCTAAGATAATTAATAAAGTAATGTTTCGGATTAATTTTTTTCTCTCCTAATAGTTTTAAATTTTAGACATTTTTTGAAAAGAGGTTCAAATATATAAATGATTATAAATATTTAAACATAACATTATGAAGATAAATCACATACTTCTACTCATTATATAGTTAGCAACAAGTGAATTATGAATGAAAATGTTAATTAAATAAAAATTCTTTATGATTTTTTTATGGTTAGATATAATTCTATATAATACTTTTATTATTTTTAAGTTTTTTTTAATAATTTGTTTTTTCCTCATAATATAAAATACATTTTTTGTACATTTACTTAACTTTTCATCTCAAGTTTAAAAAAAGTGCAAAATATTTTGAAAAATATAATATTTTTTAAGTCACATTTGATATATTTTTATATATGATTAGACAATTATTTGAAATAACTAATGATGATTAATTGCTATAGCATACAAAATTTAATTATCATTATTTTTTACAAATCATATTTTACAAATCATAAAAATAATTGATTTCAAAATTTGAAGATATATATTTTCAATGGGAGAAAGGGAAAATTTCATATTTCAACAACACATTCATTTTGTAATAGAAAAGCCATCATCTTTCATTGCATATTTTTATGATGAACATTAAGTCATGTTTATTTCTTCAAAAAGTTTTCAAGATGTAATTTTTGTTGCAAAAAGATTATGCAAAAGATTGTTTTTTTATATATCAAAAAATTATATCTTTTTCTAATGTCATTGAAGTAGATAATTTGAATGATGCATTGCATATTTTTTAGATTCGTCATAAGATTTCTTGTAACTGACATGTAATATTACCAAAATTTGTTATTCTTAAAAATCTTTGAAATTTTTTTCCTTAAACATCTCAATTTTGATCAAACAATTATTTTTTTCTGAAACAATAAAAATTATCTATAAAGTTTAGACAAATTTATGAAGAATGAAAAGAAATCTTTCATAGATTTATGAAAAAATATTATATGAATTTACATTAATGTAATGACATCATATTAAATTCAGAATTTTTTAGTGATAGATACATATCTATGTAAAAGTAAAATCACAAAAATCATCTTGACAAAACACAAGAGATCGTCAACCAACACAAGATGAGGTTAAAATCTGTGAGTCAAACAACCAAAGTCCGAGACAGAAATGACGTGGTTCATACTCAGAACCAGGGCTACGTACACCGATAACATGAGCACCTTTACTCCAAATCTGTCATCCTGGAAAGAGTCACTTTGTACATGTGAAACCGAGATATTTATCCCCGGTCCAAGTGACCTTCCTAGCTATATTTACCTAGGATCCGAGGTTATTCTTAATTGAAATTAACGTCAACAATCTCGGCCTTGAATCTTGTTTTAGAAAACAGTAATCTTTGTAACCTATATTATTACTTAGCGGTACGTTTTAAACAAAAACTTAACACAAGGTACCTCTTTACACAAAATTTACTGGAACTAAGCCGTAACCATAACAAGATAGAGCAAGAACATAAAAAAATCACTACAAACATGCTAGCATCAAGGGAACATAAACTTTGTAACCTATATAAGTACTTCACGGAAAGTTCTAGAAAGAAATCTAATAAAAGGCTACTCTTTACACGAAAGTTATTCAAAACTAAGCCGTAGTCATCATAGGTTAGAACAATTATATAAAGAAATAATTGAAGATACTATGCTAGCAAACTCTACCTTTGCTCCTTATGACAATATGCATTGTAGCACAATGTCGTCTGAAACTCTCCAAAGTAATAACTTTGGTCAACACATCAGTTGGATTGAGTTTAATATCAATTTTGACTAGCTCAATAACTAGAGTTTATCGTCGTTAATTTTGACTAGCTTAATCATCAAAGTTTACCGTCAAGATTGACTAGCTCAATCATCAGTACCGATGCTCTTTCTCGATCATTAATCACATAATGATTAAACTCTCCCAGAATTATATACCGATGCTCATGTTGATCATTAATCACATGATGATCAAACTCCACCACATCCATATTTGTGAGCAGAGATTTGCATTTGTCAATATGGAGATCTTGAGAATTCTCTCCATCTTTGAATGATATAGTATCAATGAAAAACACATATAACTGATAAGAAACTTACAAGCTCTCAATCTATAACACTACTTTTGCCAAAGCACTAGTCTGTTTGCCACGTGTTGTCCGCATTTGCGACTATGCCCGTCCGTGATTGTGACCTCCGACTAACTATCACCCGTGAGTGTCTCTCACCACTTACAATTTGTAAGTGGTGAGAAATAGAACTAAACCTGCAAACTCTTTGGAAGATGATGTTGATGATGCTTAACACAATGCAAGCAAAGCTTTGCAAGACCGCCATGGAATCGTATGCGCAAAAATTTTCCAACATCCAGTTGGAAAATCTTGGAAAATCCGATTTTTCAACCATATGTGCTTTAGAACTAAACTAGATCCCTAGACTCCTAGGAGTTCCCTGACCACTACCCTGTTGACTATAGAGAGAGATAATGTGGAACGCGAAAGCTCCTAACAGCCAAGCCAACTGTGTAGTGTGCAACAAAATTGAGAGCTGTTCACCGCCACACACTCAACATTACTCCTCCCGTCTTACATCCGGCCCCCTCCTACCAGAAAGTGACCCACGTGGCATGTGGCGATGAACAGCTCTCAAGTTGGTTGCACACTACACAGTTGGCTGTTAGGAGCTTTTGGGTTCCACATTATCTCTCTCTCTCTAGGTAGTGGTCAGGAAAATACTATGACTCTAGGAATCTAGTTTAGTTCTGAAGCATATCCAGCTGGAAAATCAGATTTTTCAAGATTGTCCAACTGGATGTTGGAAAATTTTTGCCCATACGATTCCATGGCGGTTTATCCAAAGCTTCGCCTACATTGTGTTCAGCATCATCAGCATCATCTTCCACAGAGTTCACAGGTTTAGTTCTATTGCTGTCAAACTTTTGAGTTCCATCCTGAGGAATTTTTGCATTTTAATTTTCCTCTACAGAAGTAGTAGGACCTATGAAAATTATATACATACCTTGTTCTTCTTGAAACTAGAAAGATATTACTAGTTTTTTGCGTCTTGCTTTGGGAACGATGTCAAATATAGTCGACACTGTGATGCCCGTTTGAACTACAAAGTCTCCATGGCACTGCAGATAGTCCTTGGAACTATCCAAAGTTTTGCCTACATTGTGTTCAACATCATCTTCCACAAAGATTGTAGTTCCATCGTTGTTCTTGCTCATCGAAGCAATTCAAGAAGCTCCATTCTTCTCACTTTTATCCACGGAGCTTGCAGTTCCATCATTGTCAGTTTCTTCTCCCATTGAAGCTATTTCACACTATGCATTCTTGTCATTGCCATCCACACACTCCTTGTCCACTTTTTCCATCACAAATTGAACTAATCTTGTACATAACTTCACGCCAAAAGATTTATCAAGTAATTCGGGAGGAGCAGGGTTTGGAACCCCTGTTTCTCTGATTCAAAACCTCTATATTTCTGGACCTCAAGGTTAAATATGTCCCTTGACTGCTCTTACGTATCCATGTGTGTAAGACAATTGGTAGTCCACTAATCAGTTAAAGAAAATCCACAAATTAGTTCGTTTTGGAAAAAAAATTAGAACCAGAATGTCACTGAATAGGAGAAAGGTAAATTCTACATTGAAATATGGAAACTTGATAAAAACTTCCAGGGTTAAACATGCAAACCTTGGTACGCAAAATGTTTGTGAAGATATGTTTATGTGAGAGTAGCTGATAACAAAATTCTTCAAAAATGTCCACATCGTGAAAAATGTTGATGAGTTCCGATAAAATATTTTCTCAAAAGCTTTGAGAGCGAGCAGTATCGGATTCTATCCGCATCTAATTGGGCTCTCTCGACGCTCTCAACGTTGACATCTAGCTGCAGTGGAGAATGTAGGAGCCTAGATGAGATCTGTAAGACCGGGTGTTGCACATATGTACTAAGTGTTAGAAGTGGTCAAGTGATTAAGGATGATTAGCCAAGGGATAGCTAAGTCTAGCTAGTTATGACTAAACTAGTTAGTTATAACTAAGTTTATCTAGTCATAACTAAGTTTAGCTACAATGTCTATACTTGGCGGAATGATTAACGGAGTTCTAGAAGAATGGAGTGAGCACTTCTATTTTGTCTTTTACAAGGGGTGAGCAGTTCTATTTTGTCTTATACAAAAGTTCTAGATTCTAAGGGATTAGATATTTGACTAAAAGCTTGGATTTGATTGGTTAGATTAAAATATATGAAAGATGATTGGCTAGACTAAATCTAGTGTTGACTTAGTGGCTAAGAAACTTGTAGAAGTTTAAAAGCTTCCAATGGCATCTCGCCACCTCAATCTTGGATTTCGGAAACTTCTAGACGGTTTAGCTAGGCCAATGGCATGTTGCCACATAGAATGAGTTAATCAAACTTACCTAGGTAAAAGTAAGTTATGAGAAATTACCACATGTTACTATGGTAACTTCTCAAGTAGTATAAATAGAGAGGCAAAGTAGAACCTCTCAAGCAAGTTTGGAGAGTCATGTGTGAGGACTTGTTTCAGGAATGAAGGAGTGAAGTTTTTTGAGTATCTTGGAGTGTGTTTGCGTTTATGTGAAGAGAGTGAGGTGATGAGAGTTTGTGTGTGAGTTGGAGTGATACATGGAGAGTTTTTGAGAGAAGGTGTTTGGGACATGAGTATGAGGATGAATCCTAGTCTTCTAGAACCATGATGCGCTACCGCAAAGCCATCAGAGGTAAACCTTAGTGAGAGTCAGCCCGGAGGTTACAAATCGCTTCTTGCTGCTGCTGCACACGCGCACTTTGTAGATTTGTGAACATCGAGGATGAAAGTAAATCGTGATAATACACAATGAAGTATTATCACGATTTCTACTACTTATGGAGCTAGTTTGGACCGTTCCCTGATAGTATTCGGCCTGAGAAACGGATTGCATGTAGCGTGTAAGTAATTGATGGCTGCAATCAGATCAAATAATGGTTCACGATTGTGTGGACGTTGATTATCCGTTCACAGCACTCTGTTCAATATTGTAACGAGAGTGGAATGTTCTCTTTGTCGGAAGATCCAAAGTTCAATTTCTCATCATGGTTCAATTTCGTATCTTTGAAATCGAGATTACAGTGGCCATCACACTAGAGACGTTGTGTGAGTAAGTTTACATGACATCCAGTTCATTGCTCCTTCCCCTATGAAGATTTAAACTAATACTGGGCGAAGAAACGATTAGAAACATTGTTGCTTGTTGTTTTCTGCTTGGACCTGACGTTGCACCAAATCAGAATTCGGACTTCTGTATTCACAAGGCTGCTAACGAGTGGAGTGATGCCATCTCAACTTTGTACTAAACATGAGGAGTGGCCAAAGCTTAAACTAGACCGTCCAAGCTGCACTACCACGTAGCAACTGTGGTTATCTATTCAAACCACGATTGCTTCCGCATTCTTTTGCGTGTATCTTCAACTACCACGACTCTCTAAAATACTAAATCCCTTCAATTTTATAAAAGTTACTTTAGATTCAAATGAGTACGTTGAGTTAATTGTAAAAAAAAATGAATACAAAAATTTTACGATTTTTTTTATTATTCTATAAACATAAATCAATGGTTATTATTCATTCAAACAATTCTATATAATTTGATTCAAAAATATCATATTAAATTATATGATATATCTAAATAAAAAATAAAACCACAATTTATAATCCTATCAGTGATATGAAATAAATAATAGAAAATATAATTATTAAAACCTAGAGCTTTATTCAGACGTTTTTTTTTAAAAATCAAAATAAAAATAATTTGAACTGAAAGGTACAGATATTTATAGAGAGTCATCATAACATCAAATTTTTCTATGAACGAATAATTGATACAAATGAATTCCGATTGAAAATAGTAGTTACATACAAATGAATTTGTGGAGTTCAGAAAAAATACAATAAAGAGTATATAATTACAATGATTATGAATATTATGATTTATGGGCCAAAATATCAAGATTATATCAAACGATGAAATATTTACAATTAACAACAAAGACATTGAAAAATTTCTTTTCAAAATCCTATATTTCAATCAATCTTTCCATTTCAGTAAAGGTTTCTGTTATGCTGGTTTTGATAAGTTTTTACTCATGGACGGTGATACCGTTGTCATAAACAGCCTTTGACATGTACAATGTTCGAAGGTCTAGATTACTCCTCATATTGGTGAGAAAAAACTTGCTTAACTTTGGAAGCAAAGCTCCAAACACGACAGTCATGTCGAAAACCCGATAAAACAGCATGCCAGTGATCTATAAGTTCAACCCAAGTTTTCCACTCCCATTGAGATTACACGCAAAACAAAGAAAGCAACAGTACTGTAGAATGAAGCGGAGAGTTGACAAGAATCTGTACTCACTACTCAATGCACTAAATGCATATGGAACCAGCACTATATGATCTGTAAATGTATCCCTACGAGTTCACGTTTCTGCTGGTGTTTGGGCTCTGGATGAATATGATTATGAAGATTATTACAGTTTTCTTCTTAGCCATGTGAGGAAGATGATATAACAGCTACTGCAAAGGTCCAAGTTCTGTATGTATGTACATATAATGTATATGCTGAGATCAGCAGCCTCTAGGACGAGGATGCAACCTGAACAAACTGATTAACTGGTCCCGATTTGACAACATGGAGCTTCTTCATGGGCATCGGACTTACAGCTGGAAGATCATGGCAGACGGAAAGTGACTGTTTTGCATAGAACGGTCTATTTCCTTCAGGAGATTAAGGCAGACAAATGCTCGGACCTTTCTGGACAGGTGATGAATCAACGGCCTCCCTCTTGAAGAAACTTCGAGTAAATCAGACATTTCGATTTTGTGAACGTGGGCGAGACTTGCTATTAGCGGAAAGAAGGCAGGATCGTCTTGCTGGGGACTTGATGAAATGTCCTGAGTTTAGAATCTCGAAACTTTATCATCGAGGATAAAACCCTCCACATGGCTTTTGCCCGCTCCCCGTTGGTACGAGCTGACCATAAAGTATACAGATACGGCAAGAGACCATGACGAAATTGTTTCTTCAATCTCAACAACAACTGTTTCATCATTCTCTATTGCTCAGGAATCCACCGCCATACCATACCAGAAAGTATCATATCTCGGGTGCTGTCCCGCCCCTCAGCGCAGGTTCAGTGGTCAATCATAATTTTCTCGTCCTGTGTACTTTGCCTCCTCTTGCACACGAGTAGAGTCCTCCGAGGTCATGGATTTTGAATGTGGTAGCATGGAATTGGTAGGAGAAACACTGAGAGAAGATTCACAAGCCGCTGGCCCTTCAGCCCCACGATGTATATTTACCACATGCAGGCATGATACTACAGCTCGTATTACCCGATCCCAGCATGTTAAAAGATAATATGGTGCGAACGGTTTCTTCTCAATGAACACTATTGATTGCATCAGTGTCAGGGACTTACATCTAGCTACCATCTGTGCTCGCCTGTATTCCTGGAGTCTTTTTTATTAACTCCTCGGTCCGCATAGTTTCTCAGTAAAATTTGATATTCTTCATGTAAACGATTCTTTTCTAAGTTATGAACTTTCGAAAAACAAAATTGATCAAATCTAGCACAATTCATACTTAATTGATTTAAGAACAGCTATGAGAATACGTTCCATTGCAAGGGTAAGATAACATACGTACAGATCCCACATTAAAGAGCTCATATTTTCCTGTGAAGTGCCTGCGCTTTCAGCTATTAATTGACTTTAGGGTTAGAACTGCAGGTTCAGACGCTTTCAGCGAACTGTCTATTGACTTCAGAGTAGGAACAGGAGGTCCAGGCGCTACCTATTGAATTCACATTAGTTCCAAAAATACATTAAGAGAAAATTTACTGGACAGTAGATAAGGAACATAAATCCTGCTGACGCGCACAATGTTTTCAAATCTGAGTTGAGTTGTGTAAGTAGTTCGAAAAGAGTACAGAAAAGAGCTTGCTTAGCTTTCAAACTTTGGTCTACATCAAAGAATCGGTACTACTATAAGTTGAAAAAGTATTGATCTGTGGTGATGACGTTTCCTTCGCACTGACTACACAAATTTGAAGGAATTTTTTTCCAGTCCACAGGGCTTCTGGTCAATAGTAACCGATGACCGACACAGAATACATATCACACAAGTAGGGTTAGAGATAACCGAGCGTGAGTGGGGACAAAAGAGAAATTATCCGTGAACATTAAAGCTGGAAATAAATCTTTACATGTCGTATAGCTGGCTGAGTCGAGTACCTACGTTCACGTTGACTGCTTGGCGAGTTCCATAAACCCAAAGATACATCACACAAATGTCTAAACTAGACAAAATTAGTAAAAGTACATACATAGTACATGTATCTACCTGCATAACGAATGATAAGTACTTAGATGGAATTAGTCTGAACGGGCAACACTCAGCAGAGCAAGCAGATCAGAGGACAGCAGTGGCAAAACGAAGAAAATTAATCGTCATTACAGAATCGACGTCGTCACAGACTCTATCATTGACACGACGAGTTTCATAATCATCATCATACCTGCCTTCCCAATCTCGACAGCAGAAGGGGTGCATCAGGAATCTTTCGTTCACACATAGCTTGTACAGCATTGCGTTCAATCATATCGAAAACATACCAGAGACAAGAGAAGGTGCGATTGAAAGCGAATTACAGCACGGATACTGGAAGCGCAGCAAATGGCGCAACAGCGCGCGATGAATGGTGTTAGACCAGAATGTACATAGTGTTGCTTTATGTACCAACATTGCAAAGTTGGTTGGGTTTCTATCCTACAGTTAGCAGAGCAATTAAAATATTTATTTTACAGCACGTGGTCAGTTGCAACCTTTTAGAATCTACAGTTTTCTTTCTAAAGAATGATGATGAAGCTTAGTAAGATGATCTAGTACTGGGGACGTCTCTCTTTGCGCTGTTGGCGGTGTCCTCAACGGTTTCTTTCGCCGAGTTGGTTGTATCAGATACGGATTCCTGTGCAGAATTGATAGTCTCACCAGCTTGTTGCTGCCCTGAACTGATAGCATTGGCGGTGGTGTCTCTGGCAGACACAGCTGTATCTACGATGTGATCCTTAGCGGCGGTGGCTCGGTCGGCGGCGGTGTCCTTGGCTGACACTGCAGTTCCAGAGATGCTGTCCTTGGCAGACTTGAGATGGTCACTTGTGGTTTGGTGCGCCGAGTTGGCTGAGTCTGCGGTGGTTTGCTTTCCGGAGTTCATAGCACTCACAGCGTTTTGGTACGCCGCACTGGTAGAATCAGCAGCGTATGTATACGCTCTGCTCGCGGCATTCACCACGGCGTCCTTGGTGGAGTATGTGGTGTCCACCACTTTGTTGCCAACTGCCTCAGTCGTTTCTCCGGTCTTCAGCTGTGCAGTCTTCAACATACCGGCTGTGGCCTCACGTGCCGACACTCCTGTAGAGACTACGTAGTCCTTTGCAGTAGTTAAGGTCTTTGCTGTTGAATCACCTACCGACTGCAACACTCTTCCAGTCTGATTTTTGGTTTCCTCTGCCACATTCGCGCTCTTGTTCTGAGCAGATGACCCCGTCGAGACCATGTAATCCTTGGCCGTTTGGACATACACTGCGGCTTTTTTTCCCACGGATTCAAGCAGGCGCTTGCTCTGATCGGCACCCGAGTGCAACGTCTGACCGGTGGAGACCTCAGCTTCTCCGAGTTTTTCTTGGGCAGCAGAGGTTTGTTGCGATCCGCTGCCCACAACCCTGTCCTTCAATAACACCACTTGATCACCCAACTGCTGCAGATAGCCCTTGGAGCTGTCCAAAGCTTTGCCTGCAGTGTGTTCAGCATCTTCTTTCTTTGTACCAGCGGTATTCGCAGCTTGCTGTGATTTACCTACTACTGCATCTTTCACTGAGATGCCCGTCTGAACTACGCTGTCTCCAATGGACTGCAGATAGCCCTTGGAACTATCCAAAGCTTTGCCAGCATCGTGTTCAGCATCTTCTTTCTTTGTACCAGCGGTATTCGCAGCTTGCTGTGATTTCCCCACTACTGCATCTTTCACCGAGATGCCCGTCTGAACCACACTCTCTCCGACGGACTGCAGATAGCCCTTGGAGCTATCCAAAGCTTTGCCAGCATCGTGTTCAGCATCTTCTTTCTTTGTCCCAGCGGCATTCGCAGCTTGCTGTGATTTCCCCACTACTGCGTCTTTGACTGAGATGCCCGTCTGAACCACGCTGTCTCCAACGGACTGAAGAAACGATTTACTTTTCTGCGCACCGTGGTCAGCCTTTTCACCGAGGTTCATACTCTCCACTCCTCTCTGAGCCTGATGCAGTCCCTCGTTACCTGACTCACTTGCACTCTGAGCATCTTGACTGCCCTTACCAACGACAGCATTCTTGGCCGAGAGTGTGTAGCCAGTCACTGTGTCTCCAACTGACTGCAAAAGTCCTTTTCCTTGCTGGGCCTTCGCATCCATCAAATCAGCAGTCTGATGACCGGTCTCATTCACTCTGCATTATCAAGTACAATGGATGCAAACACAATTGTTCAATTTACAAATCACTGGGACCATGCCCTTCCCATGAAAACCAGGCTAACTAGGCAACAGAACTAAGATCACTGATATCCTACAGAATTAGTAACGCCACCGTACAACATCTTACTTTCTCGTTCTATACACTAACACAACATAGAGACCTACGTGACTGCTGCGAAGGAGACCCAGTTAGTCCTAGAATGACATGCTTCGATACTTTCTATTGTTACGTCATGTTTTCTCCTCAATTGGATGTAGCAACACAGCAAAATGTTCTAGAGCAATTTTAGAGCAGCGAGTTGAAGAGGATAGTCAGGTAATTTTCAGAAGCATGAGTCTATGAGTCTATGATTCCACCGAGCTTCTTCAAGGATGTACAAACGGACCCGAAGTTGTGGAAGGAACAATGGAGGAGGACACAACAGCCAAACCAGAATAGGTACACGAGCAAAACTGACCTTTGAGCAGCACCGTCATCCGTACTCTGGTTGTCCGCCATTCTATGATTCAGAACTGACGATGAAATTCTACCAATTCAAACTCGTCACAGATCCTTGATGCGCAGAGAAATTCTAATGTCTAAAGGAGGAACTAAGGTGGAAGACAAAACTGGAATTGAGAACCAGTGCAAATTTTCACAGCAAGAGACAAGTTTCACAGGGGTGAAAGATGTTGATTGCTTTAAAGATTTCTGTAAGAGTCTATAAGGGTCGTGAATTCTTCGTGCTCTTGCTTATAATTAGGAAGTGTGATCGTGAGGGCGGACTGACGGGACAGGTGTCGTTTCATTTACAGTCCAGATAGATTTAAGATCTTCTTCTTTCGACAAGTGTACTTGTTAAGTTTAGGTGCACTGATTGAACGACGCGTAGCCTTGGCATGCACGTGTCGACCATAGTGCAGGAGGGAGCCCGTGGAAGTACATGGAGTGGAGGGAGTAGTTACCTAGAGATAAGGGGACTATTTACTGTAGCTAGCAGAAGTTGACTATGTATTAGTGGACGTTCCCTACATTTATTACGATGCAGAATGTGTCCACTGAAAGTCGTACCATCACAGTTCCACTTACACGAACTTGTACACTACAGTAAGAGTACCCGAGCAACTCGAACCTACACAATTAACGAGCACACAATTGTAATAGGAACACTGGCATATCGTGCAAATTGCAGACATGCCGATAGTCATCAAGCAGTTTACTCTGCCAGACCTGTTATGCGCGGAGACTATCTATTCCTCAATGACAGACGCTGACAAACACAATCGAAGAGGGCACATGGATGTGGAAACAGAAATGATCGGAATTCAAGGTGTGTTCCGTGAGATTTGTACTTTGTTTACCGATTCTGCACTCCTCAGTGGTACATATGTAAGAAAGACAATGGTGGACTCAAATATATGTGAATACATTTGATAATCAACATGAGAATGGATTTTAGATTCTGTGGTCTTTCGCAAAGTATGGACGGGCGCAGTAGGGAGAGTAGTAAGAGAGTGACTCACAGAGCTCATGCTTGTCTTCCCACCATTCGACTCAAATCCTGTCTACTACCGGTCAGATTGATTTTCGCACTTACCTCCTGAGTCCTGGTATCCATTTACCTTGAACAAGAAATCACCAGCGGGGTCAAAGACCCGAAAAGCTTGAGTTACTTCTCTAATCGACAACAATCACCTCAAAACTTCTTTGCCTGAAGTGTGATGACTTGCCTCAACGAAAAAATAGGTGGCAAAATAAGGTTTTCGTGAACATATAATTTTAGTAACAGAGTTTCCAAAGACTTACTAAATTAGCTACGTCAACCTTTCACCATAAATAGTATGAACATGTAGTTAATGGGTACATCAAAACAGTGCAAATAAGTAAATCGAAGGGAGTTTCTCCGATTCTAACGCCAGTAGTCATGGGTACATGCTGAAGCAAAAACTGTCGTCTTACTCCTTTCCTCGGTAATTAGCTGGCCATTTACAAAGTTTTTCACATCAGTAAGGTGTACCTAAGATTATCGTGGATGTGAAACTAATGCAGGACACACAGAATAAGAAAAACTTACTTCTTGGGGGGAAAAGTTGTAGTGTGGATGATAGTATATGCTAGGGAGAGCTCTTGAACCAAAATGTTTGATCAAAGTTTGAGAATCTTGCAAGATAGACCAGGTTCACTTGAAAGTGATTCCAAGTAACTCATATGGAGGGGGTGTTATGCATCGGAGAAGGTAGGGTAAGGTAACTTTGCATTTGGATTCCAAGTACATGTTACCATAGCATATGTTGTGGTGACAAGATATATCAGACTCTTGTTTCGGAGTGATTGATCAACCATCGTCCTACATGGGTAGGTCTCACTTGACTGTTGTCATGGTTGATCTTGATTTCAAAAAGAGTAAGAATGCGACACCTTTGCGAGAGAGCTTGCCCAAAATACTATCATTTTGGACAAGTTCAAATACAACTCTCTGTATTGCTCTTTTCTTTCTTCTATAGACTCTTTATATAGTATTAATTGTGAATTCAACATGGGACAATCTCTATAGGTGATACTTTCTAGGATCCCCCTATGGTCTATCTGGGGATTTTATAGGCAGTTGGGATATCTGAGATGAGCATGAAATATTTACCATGGCATAGTTATTGGGGGTAGCCACATGCTACCCGATGGATTCTTCCATGTACCTGATGGGGTATTCGCCTCCTTCTTGCTGTATTACTTGGTGTCTTCTTCTTCTCTAAGTTTGCGACTTGTCGCAGTCCTTTACACCAATTTTTGCAAACTTAGAACAGGTCTTGGGCAATGCGAAGGTGATTGATACAGTGGGATACCGGAGGTCGTCATATACAATGTCCATTGGATTCGAACGCCCTGTTACCATATATACCTGCTGTTGGTGGTCAGCTAGGGCCCACAAAGGAGCCGGCTGCCCAACTCTATCAAGATTGTACGCGGAAAAAGTACATGAATTGATTCGGGAATGCATTGGGAAGGAGGAGGTGGTGGGAACTTATCAAGTTTGGTACGCCCCTGACAGCGAAGGGAAGGTAGTGGCTGGCTCCTTGTGATCTTTTGGAACGAACTGGCGGCTACCATCGGCCCCACTCTTTCCTTTTCGTAACGGGACCACTCACTTCCTGCATTATGTGCTTTGGACGGACATTGTAATGTAGTTTACCACTCGTAGTCAGCGACCTATATCATCAATGCTGTTTGAAGGACGAGGGTCCACTCCACTCCACTGTCCACCAAGAAACACGAAAATGACTTCTTGTCGCTCATTATGAGCCTGGAGCATGTAAGAAAAATGACCTCAACCGTTATGTCACCACATAAACCTACAGTTCGAACCTATCGCCAGTGCGAATTTCAAAACCTGCACACCACAAAGCAAGAAGAAGGTGATTGTAAATTCTGTTTCTTCATCCTCCAAAAAGAGTCCGAACAAGGAACGAACATAATGAAATTTACCGATATATATCTCATTTTTGGTATTATCATTTACCATCTAGCTGGCTATTCTCCATCAGGACGTTTTGGGTTGTAACAAGCGCCTTGATCTTGTAATATGGGTATACTTTTGTCGTAATTAACACCCCCATCAGAAGTGATGCTTGTTTGAGTCATGTTATGCATTCCACGTGCCGCAAAGTAATGAGAAATTCCAAAGAAATCACATTCCCTAGATCTTTCACTACCCAAGGCCAGGATGTTGTTTCTACATTCTGGTCGGGTAGTACCCATACTACCCGACCTCTGTGACATATTCCATGGGCCATGCGACGAGAGCGAAAGATAACCAAGGTTCATATCAAGGTCAGAACTAGCTAGGTTCATGCTGAAGAATCCGATAGTTCACTTCCTAGGACGTGATTTCTAGGCCCACACACAATTGGCGATGGGCGGGAGCACTTTGATTTACCCTCACTTCTGTTTTTATCTGCTTGATACCTTTTAGCTTCTGTTTGAAGCAGAAGAGTGTCTGGTATTTGTGTCTCCTGTCTATATTTGCGGGCACCACCCAGGAATAAGGAAAGCCTGAAGGAGGCTACATTTCCTTAAGCCAAATGTCATATTCCGACTGACCTACAGAAGTATACAAACGTAGGCAGAAGGAAACACCTTTGACCGAAGGAACTTGGAGCAGACGAAATATACGGTATCCATGTCTCCTGGATCAAAACCTCCTTCACGACTTTCCTTTTCGAGCGCCCCGGCAACTGGCATTGATGTCACAGAGAAGAAAGAAGACGTAAAGAATTTGCACTCCACGCCCCCTACTTTTGCACCGTGAAACACAGGCCTCAAGATATTCATTTCTGGTCAAACAACCGCTCGAGTGTCAACCGAACTCTTTTCGAAGTGAATTAAATAAATTAAAGAAAGAAAGAAAGACAGCTCCGAGCGTTCGAGCAAAAAGTACACCGTAGATCGAGTCAGAACGGGGACCTGCATAGCCACTGAAAACACCCGAAAACCCTCAAGCCCGGTATTCGCAACCACTGCAGCAGACTTGAGAAGCGTGCTCGACAAACTCCATCGCCATTTGGGTTCGGACCGAAGCTCCCGAAATTGCCGATGTCACGAGAAATCAACAAACAAATTTCGCCTTTCATGTCCTTCGGCATCCTCCTCCTCGTCCTTCTGCTCCTCCTGCTGTCCAGGTCGACCACCTGGCTTCTTCCACACGCCACCGCCCCGCGGCCCCGCGGCCGCGCTGTCCCACATACGCCATACAAGAACGAACATGGCGCTGCCACAAACGACGAACACCGTAACAGCCCAAACCTGGCCCCGACCGGCGGAACATGCGCAGTTCACCGCCGGCCGACGGTATGGAGGTCGCCGGACGGCGGCGTGAGGCTTCAGGCTTCAAAGACCTCGGGGCGCCCGCGCGGTTGGAGAACAACGCAGTACGACAGCACAGTACGACGGGAGAACGTGACATGGTCGAGGCCGCCCGCTTCTGTACAGGACCGGACCGGACTGTATCGTAGTGGAGGGCTCGGGTGTCGTGGAGGCCGGATGCGTATGATTGTGCAGCGCCAGCTCAGCGAGGGAATCGAGAGGTGGAGGGGCCACCGAGGCGCCATCAGAGCAGACGATAAACAATGGGCACTGTTCGTTCCTTTTGCTTATTTTACTGTGTCCCGCACCTTTAACAACGGCCGCTGATTCGATCGAGGCGCACCTGTTCGCTCTGATCTACGAGCTCATCACCAGAACATCCTTTATACGGAAGCCTCCTCTTCTTATCTACATCGACCGGACCCCACCCTCTGCGCCCACGGATGTCCTGTATGCCTTTGCCTTTGTCCGCTGGCCGTCTACTTTTGCGCGCATTCTCCCATTTCCAACCGGAGCTTCCTTTCCTTCCGTTCTCTTCTCTTCGTGCGGAGTCTATTTTGTATTTGCTTTTTCATTTTCTTGCACCTTTTTCTGGATGATGATGATGATGGAAAACAAGAAATGTCGATGCAGATGATTTGTGAGCTTTGACCGCTGCCTGCAGAGTCCGTTTGGGTTTTATCCATGGCTGTTAGTCAGAAGTCGATAATGCCGACTACTAACTCCATCTCCAGCTTCGGTCGTGTTGGCAGAAAGTCTTGGGAATGGATCGGAGACCTCGCGAGAACCTGACGAATAGCTTCGTGAGTTGAAAAGTTAGGGATTGTCCATAACTCCTCCTCTCAGAGCGATCTGGATCTGAGAATTATATTATGAATGTTGCATAATCGTCACATGGGAACGTTTACGACAATTGGACTTGATTCTCCGACAGTCTTAGAGTTTCCGAACGAGAGCCTTGTGGATCGCACTTCAACCCTCCGACCGACTCGAAAGGAGAATATTGTATAGAGGCTGTCTTTGGTGACTATGGCCCTCCTCCATAGTCTGGCTTCTATATTCCTCTTCTAGCTTCTTCGGCTTTTAAATGCGATCCACCCAACCGAAACTCCTTCTGCGCCAAATATTTTATGACAAATTTATGTACGGTGACATGAAAAACTAGTGTTCTGAAAGCAATGGAACAGAAGCGGAAATCCATGAACTATTGTTTTTAGTGTGTGATTCGATCTTATCTTGTGTGTGTGCAATTGAGGTGAACTGGTTCGCATGCCTATATTCATTCCAGCAGAACATTCAACGAAACCCTAGTAGTATAGCGAAAAGGATGTAAAAATTGCCATTGAACACACATGCATGAAACTAGAGGGTCCATTTACCAGGGCCCAGCTTCATGGGGCTAGGCCCTGGTAGACATATTGAACCTAAAAAAATAAATTTACCTGATTTACTTATAGCTCCATTGCCATAATAAACTATATTGGATTATCTTGAAGGAATATGATAGAGAACAATAAAAATAATCTTAATAATTAAAATAGTGAGAATAATCGATACCATTGTTGCATAGTATAAGTCAACATCCAAAGTTAAAACAAACAAAGATGTTTTGGTTTTGGATATTTTGGTTCATGTATCTCCGTTTCCAGTCCATCCAACGAAAACTATGTCTGCTTCTAAGATCTAAGAAACTATGGCTGAAACTATGTCATTTTCAAAAATGGGCTTGTCCTCATAACCAACCCAAGGTGGGGTTTGCCTTAACTCCAGTGGACTACAAGGCACATCGAAGTTTACTTATAGGTATGTACTTACAAACGCTTGAGTCATTTCAAACAAAAAATCACTCGTGCAATCAGGGGCAGATATAATCTGCCATCGAAAAGCATAACATGCTTATTCACATCCAAGTGCCATCTCTGTCTATCAAAAGCTAAACCATGTGGATTTACGATTGTCTCATGATCTTGTTTATCCACAACTCGCAACCAACATCAATCTACTTTTGCTGTCACGCAAGAGGTGGATTTCTTACAAGGAACTTACGGAATTTGGGTTCGGGCCACATCAAGCTCACGCCACCTTCTGGATTAGCTGATCTCTAACCGCAGGCAATTGGGATCTAATCTCGGGAGGCATGCCCAAAACAATCGAACGGGTTTATCGTGAGCGTGCTGCAGCAGTTCATCGTATGAGACAAGAGCCTCTGTCTGGCGCTTGTCCCTGACAAGCTTCGAAGAGAAGTTTCATAGCTCTTGGGAGAGGGAATGTCCAGCGACATCGAAAGGAGCATTGTGGCTGTAGTAGATGCTTCTGCCGTTTGTACGCCACTCTTAAGACCCCGAGGGACTTAACAGTGGTGACATTCGCATGCAGTATGAGATATACAGTCGTATGGTGCAAGCGTTCTGCTTACGTCGGGATTAAAAAATCCCTAATTTTCGCTCCTTTCCAGAGGCCACCATTTGGTGCCCATACCCATGCCCAAGGGTTTTGGGTGACATTATTTTTCCATGGGTGGGCAGAATCAATGCTAAGGGGAGTGTTTGTCAAGATCCAACCAAGAATTTCCGTAATTTGAATAGTATGGGTGGGCACAGTTAATGCTATAAGTGGGAATAAGTGGGAAATAGGTCGCTGCTTGTGGTTAGGGTGCAGATTTGAAGTGAAATGTTGGCCTCTGCTCCTTTCCCCTCCCGCTCAGGAGCAGCATGGGGCAAACTCACATTTTACGAAGAGAATAAATAAATAAACGTATTTCCTGGTTCAATTCCGAGCTCCAGTGATTGTTACCACGACTGCCTAACCCACACAGGCTAAGATGAGCAAGGAGGGAGGGGCCGAATTGAGCTAGAATCGTCAGCTGCCGATGAGTCATCGGCATGCTTGTAAATGGGCCATTTACAAGCATGTCGAGAACAGAACCGGATGGAGACTAGGCTTGGCCCCGGTCCGGACTGGCGGTTAACCGTCGGTCCCGTTTAACCGGTCCCAGAGATAATTCGTCACCCTAATGTAATGTAGTTCATAGGCTTGGCCACGGTCCGGTCTGGCGGTTAACCGGTTACCCGTCGGTCCGTTTAACCGTCCCCAATTTCTCTGGAACCGGTTAACCGGTCCACTTTTTTTTCAACCGGTTAACCGGACCGTGGCTAAGCCTGATGAAGACTCCTTCGCAGCCGTGCAGTACTATGTGTGCACCGGTTGCTGCAATTTCGGTGGGCTCGTGGAATCGTAACACGCCCAGTAGGCTCAGCATTAATGTTGAACGGTCTGCCCGAACCGTCTACGGCATTGATGTAGAGTACACACACACAGAGACACACACATTTGCTAGAATGACAGCTTTTGTCGGGAACTGGCTAGGTACAATTCACCGGCATGGTATGCCAACATGCACAAACAACGTCCAAGAGCAACGACTTTACAGAGTGTCAAGCCCAGAAGGTACTCCATAGGACAGATACAGTATAATCCCTTCAGCAGCTCGATTCAAACAACAACGATCCATCAACTACTAAAATACTCCTGTGTCACCGTTCTGCTGCTGCTGCTGCTGCTGGCCAGGCCACCTCACATGTGTTCGTAGGGGGAGCCTGATCACATGCTTGCATGTGGGACAAAACAAGTAACGCTTCTGATGCTGTTTCGGTCACATTTGCCGTCTTTGCTGCTGCTGCTTCTCTCTCTCTCTCTTGCAGCAGACCACTTTCTACACCGTTTCCAGAAACTCGATCGCATCTACTGTACTGCTGGCGACGATCCCTTTTACTGCGGATAAGAATTCTGAGATTTATCGTTTACACCAGCCTGGAAATGCGTTTAAACGACGATTGTCGTCCGGGATCTTTGCGCTTTGGAGGGATTCGGAGAAACATGGTCAAAGCTTAACCCTCACGCCGGATGCCCCGAGCCAATGGCGAGCAATCGAAGTCAACTGTGTATGTGATCGAGAGTTGCCACGCAGCGATTTTAGCAGTGGTTCCATCGACCGAGATCCAATCCGAGGAAGTACAAGCTCGCAAGTCATGTCCACTCACTGACTGACTGAGACGGGCAGCAATTCAATTTCCGGTCGGAATCTGAGGCCCAAGGATACGATTCGTATACAGCACAGGATTGCCGTCGAGCGCAAAAGGGCTCGGGGATGAATGAGAATCTGGGGGGTCTCGGAAAACGGTGCGTTCCGAGGATGATGATGATGATTGTGCTCTTCGGGAAACGTGGGAGGGGGCGATGGGGAAGAAAAGAGAAAATGCGTGACCGGCCAGAGCCCGGAGCCCAGAGCTGGCGACCGGAAGGGCCCGTAGGCAGGGCGAGCGTGCGCGAGACCTACGGAGCCTGATCAGCAAGCGGGAGAAAGCTGACGTGGGACTTGGCTCAACGGGCACGCATCGACGCCATTGAACCACGTGTGCTCGCGGCGACCAACGTGGTGGCTTCCAACTCGGCAAACAGGTTTGGGGAATGGGAGAGCGCCGCGTGGCGAAGGAGAATCTCGCGCAGCGTTGAATCTCCCTCGTCGAGCCTGCTGTTGCGACAATGAACGAGGACTCGAAGCTAAAAGGCATTTTGTCCCTGTGAAAATCGGGAGGACAATTCGGGTTTTCACGAAGATTCTGCGTGTGAGCTGGGTTGATTAGCTCGAATTGATCGCCTCTGGGTGCTATAAGTTCTTCGCTCTCCGCTGCTACTCCCGTGCCACGTTCAGAAGCATCATTTGCCACGCGATCCATCCAGCTTTCCTGTGCAATCGTCTGCTTCTGCTTCCGCTTCCCGACTTCCAAGCCGCCGCTGCCGCTGCTGTCCACTCCCGATTCGAATTCAGCTGCGCTTCGGTTGTTTCAAGCTCTCACCAGCTCAGAATTATGGCCAGCGAGAAGGTCGATGAAGTTCCCAGCGTCGTCCCCGCCGTCGACGAGCCCAAGGTAGGCCACGGCAGCTGAAATTGGCACTGACTGAGCTCGATGGCGATTCATCGAACTCGAGCTGCTTTTCCTCTGTCTGCGGATGCGATGTTCTCGAGCTGGTCTTTGAGCTGATCTGGAGAGTGCAGGGCGAAAGCAGCTCGGAGAAGTGTTTTGTCAGCTGGTGCTCGGTGCCACTTCGCCCATGGATCTCAGTGGCGAGTCTTCCGCGACCGATGAGAGAAAATGCAGCTGCCTGAATCTGACGTGCTCACTGATTGTTACTCGCAGGAGGCTGTTGAGGAGAAATTGGCTGATCTGAAGATCGCCCCAGAGGAGACCCCCGCCGCAGAAGAGAAGTAAGTGCTCGCAGCGATCATTCGTAGAGATGCTCAGACTCCAGCCCAGTGCACGAATCACCTCATCTGTAGTTGTTTTCGTCGTCACAGGGGCAGGAATTATAATTTCCACCGAGCATGCCCGATGAGAGCAGCAGCTGTAGCTCGGCCTCTCGAAGCTTTTGAATTTTTTGTATACTCCAGCATTAGTGCCTCAGCTCAAATGCGTAGAGACGACTGTAAATTCCTGCTGATGGAGGATGATCGGGGATCCGGAGATCGGCTAATTCCCAATCCATGGACGCTGCAATCTGATGCAATCTGAAATCTGATCTTGCAGGACCGAGGAGAAGTTCGAGGACACCAAGGACACAGAGCCAGAGGCGGAGCCAGAGAAGGCGGCGCCCGAGACGACGGTGGTGGAGACTGTGGACACACAAACGGGAGCTGATGACGGCGTCACAGAGCCTGCGACTCGGGAGGTGCCCACCGAGGTTGTACACGAGACCGTAGAGGATCCGGCGAAGCCCACACTGAAGGAGAAGCTGAGCGCCATCTTCCACCCCAGCGCCTAGAGAGAGAGACCAGACCATGTACCAATGCTTTGGGTCCAATTCACGAGGCTGCAGAGAAGAAATGTTCCACTTAAGATTTTGACTGTTGTATTATTTCAACCATGCGTATTTTAGCGGAGGGTACAAAGTAAGCTAGGGGGGATGGGGAGGAATATCGGCTGCCAAAGAGTTTGGAGAGGGTATTGGATCATGACTGACGAATTGAAGTCGATGACATGGTGGAGCTGGATGGAGTGAGTGAGTGAGTGAGATGACAAGAAGACGGCACCAGCGAGGAATGTTTCTCTGTCATGAGCCGTAGTCTGCATGATCTGACGGTAGATTTTCGTGGTCCACGCGAGCTGACTCCTGGCCCAACTTTGCTGCTTAGACTGATTGATCAGCATGTTTTATCACATTTCAGATGCGTGACAAAACTACAAAAAGTCAATAAGTATCCCAAAATTTTCGGCAGACATATGTCCGTAGGGACACGAGAAGAGCTAAGCCCTGGTAGCCTACTGTTTTGGGTTTGTAATAATAATATCGACCTCGGCTAACAACCAGAGTCATATCTGTGTGACAGGAACCATTTTGTAATATAGTGGGTGTTGTATTTGGCTTAGTTGTTGAAGACTTACGATATGTACATTCTTCAATAAAATTCATTCTTTTCTTGTAGACTTTGTCCTCTCTCTGTCTCCCCGACTTTCACTTTGTGCAGTTCGAATGTGATATCTTTCCGTCTTCGTGACCAGCTGTAAGGCCCTCTTCGCCTGTGTGAATTCCAGTGTCTACGGTCAACATCCACTGAAACTCAGTGATGATTATACATGGTTGGATGCAATGTTGAGCTGCTAATTGCCCCTCCTCGCCTGTCTCCCGGAATCCGTCACAGAAAATTCTACTATATCTGTTGCAAATAATGCTCCACAGCTTGGCTAGACCGTGGCAAACTTCAGCCCAGTTTCTGTGCATATAGTAGCTAGCAGTCGATTTAAAATCTGCTCGGTAGGTTGAGATAGATTTTACAAGCTTTCTTTATCCATTTACGGCGAAACCCGTCTGTCCAAACAATTCAGAATCACAATTCCGATGCGCTGTAACGTATGCGAGGCCATGATATTCGTTGTTTGGACACGGAAATAATTCATTTCTGTATGTCGAAATGAAATGAGGTGTAATGATGGGATGGGAAAAGAAAAGAACCAAGTGCGCTGATAGAAAGGCCAATTTTGCCAACAGTCAGCTACAATTCTGAACTGTACATGTTTTATTGCCAAAATCGTGTATGAACAATTTCAAGTGACTTCAGTTTTCCTCTTTCTTTTTTTTTGGTCCATCTCGGTTATAATTTCTCTCATGAGTAAGGTCTATTGCCGAACCCCACAGTGCCAACGCTTTTGATGCATTGCTCAGCATAGCTAGCTGGTTCCTATTACATCTCAACTTGGCGACATGAGATTAGAACTTACATTTTTCCCCTGTTGTTCTCTTTTAGCCTATGATTCCAAACAATCGTAATTCTGTACTCCAAAACTCGTCTATGTGTCACGGTTGAAACATGACGAACTCGTTCCCTGTTTCAAATGATGGCTGGCAACGTAAGTCAGTCACATCCTCCAAGCATGCAGGCCACGACATAAGCTGAGAACTACTAGCACGTGAGTAAGCTATTAACAAGATCTATCGATGTTCGATGGTGCAGCTATGTAGCGAAAAGGAAGGCCAGGTCAGACGTAATTAGACCTGCTTTGTTGTTGGAATTGATCTGGAATCGATCTCGTGAAGAACAGAGGTCAAAAAGTTCCTCAGTGTATCTGTGCTCAGATGCCAGTGACGTAGTTTCAGTTTGACGACGAATGACGAAGGAGGATAGAGCATGCCAAGAATCTGGGTTGCATGCCAAGATAGTAATTGAAAGCTGCGCTCATGAATCTTGTAAGATATGTGTCGTGAATCCCATGGCTGTCCATGTTAACTGTTTTGCAAAAGCGGGGCCAGCTCATGACAAGCCGTCGTGAGGGTGAGTTCGAATCTGAAGCTTGACGGTGTTTGCTCAACCTCAACTTGTTTCAAATTGATGCTGATGCAACATCAGACAAGATGTGCCATGCCGAATAAGTTCGGATCTTCTCTTTCCGACAAAGCGCTCATTGCACGTCACTCAGTCCACCTGTCAATCAATACAGTTAGAAAGTGACCTCTGCTCTTATCATAGAAGGTCCGGTAAATTCGCCCTCTAGCAGTCTGAACAGATTTTGCGTCTTTGACGAGATCGAAAGAAGGGTGTCTGAAGACAACCGACTGTCTGAATCTTATAGAATGTTGCTCGAGCACAAGTTTCATGTGCTTAGAGATTATTCTGATTCTTCCAAAGACAAATCAAGTTACTCACAGATCTGTCCGTGATCGCAATCACTTGACTACCTAACCACTCGGGTTCTCTTGGAACCTAGCTACACGAGGACCTTCAGATTCAAGTCAATGCTAGTCAATAACTCAACGATCTAGCTTTGCGATCTTTAACCACCGTGAAGGACGATGTGCTAGGCTAGTGGACTCTCCGTTGGTGTTCATGTGGATGAAGGCTTCGGACCTGAATGTTTCAAAGCATACTCGATGGAACATGGACGTGGAATGACAATCACGGTCAACGAGATTGCTCTGCCAGCGGCTCTCAGGTTTCCACTTGTGAATTACATCTTGCTCTTACATCTTTAATCAATCTTCAAAAACAACAGAAGATTCAAAGTTCAGGTCGTCAGTTCGCACGTCATCTTATTTGAGACTTGGCTGTTTCCAAGTCTTTGAAGAATCCCCATGAATACATCTTGAGAGACGAAGGTTCCTCTAGATTCTCCCTATCCAGGCTAAGCTCCTATAGCCTTCCACTTCCACGGATTTTGGAAGAAAAATATGGAAGCCAAAAACTTAGAGTCTTACCCTGACGCTGCGAACCGCACCCCACGGCTGAACTCGGTAACCCATTCATCATCGCCACACGCGCCGTGAGCGATAGTGCATACTCTCCGGTGGCATGTTTCTGATTGCAATGATTGAGTTGTACAGTTCCTTCAACAAATGGAATCAGCATTTATTGAATGGGGACAAACAGAGCCCACTAGGATTGGAGAGCGACATGGCAAAACAACCAGGAGGAAAGTGTCCGGGAATGCTTTTGAGGCCTGCTGCTTGTGGGCTGCAGGATTACAAGTCCTTCATTCCTTTGAAGTCTAATGGAGTATGTCACAATGATATCAACTAAAGAAGGTTTCATAACATTTTATTACGCAGACACTTTCAAGCATATCAGATCTGGCATTACTGTGGAAGGACAATCATGAGATCATTGTTCTAAAATCCATGATATCTGTGATGAAGGTACAAGGTAGCATCTGAATAGAGAGAGTATGATCTTGGACCCACTGTGAGAGCTCGAGCTCGAGCTGCATAGACTTTCAGTTTAAGAGATGTCATAAATCCGAACAAAGTGGTCTGACTGCGGCAAAACTTTACAGCTTGCTACCAGGCTATGGAAGCGAAATGGGCATCATCTGTGCATGACACCACTCACCTTTGGTTTGTCTCTCCAGCATGTTCACCGGTTCTTGTTCGGTCTTGTGTGCCTTTTGTGGGTATGTGGACTAATCCGTACAATTCTTTTGAGCTAACACGCTTGATCTAGAAGGAAGATGATGTTGCTCAGACGCCAAAGTTGTCGATACCCGGAATGTCTTGTCTACTGTTTTAATCCAGGTTCAGACAAAACTACAAATTAGTGCAGTGCCTCCAGTGGAACATGAGCGATGGTCTATGGATCCTTGGAACCTCACAATGGGCCACCACCGAACTCCTCCGGCATCCAGGTACCGAAACATTGTGTAAGGTTAGCTCTGTCCTTAAGAAACAGGCCCCAGATGTAAACTGCCTGCAGTCCAAAGGCACCTAACGATCGAACCTCTTCTCGAGCTCTACGTCTGTTCTCCCAGCTCCTCGAAAGGAGCTGTCTGTGAGTCGTTCGCCCATGAGGGAAACTTCTCCCCGTCAGAAATCCCGTTTCAAGAGTTTCATACTCACGGGTCTATAAAAACCACCTCCGAATTCGCAAAATTTGCGAAATTCCACGCCGAAGATCTTCATCGGGGCGACGGACTTTTCACGAGGCGTACGACCACCAAAAGCAAATCGCGAAATCCCGCCATCGCCTCCGCGAACGACGAGAAATCCGAAAGTTGCAAACTTCGAATCGAACTTTCTTTCGAAGAGAAGAGAAGAATTTCGGGAAGAATAAGAACGATCGAATCCGGAGGTCCGCTTCTCGCGTGACATGGTGCAGAGGAAGCGAAGCGCGGACACCACCACTGTCAGCTGCGCACGACACTCACTCCCCGCGCTCATTCATCCCCCGACCACAGTCCACAGGCCACGACCGACCTCGAAGGAGCCGACGCGCCTCCAACGGTAACCAGCCGCGCAGGCCTCGGGGAGCGGGTGGCGCGCGCGAGAGAGAGAGGGCGCGGTCCCAGCGTCCCGGGAACGAGATGCAGCCCATGTCACGTGACGAAGGTCGAAGATCTCGTGACTGTGAGGAGGTCGGGGTCGGGGTCATAACTGCCGCGGAAGGTGAAAACACGTCCGTGAATGGTAAAGGTGAATGCAGCTACCGGGCCGGGTGGACGGTAGGTTTTGTGCGAACGGCATTGCAGCGTGGTGAGGTGGCGCCGAGGGAGCACAGCCTCTCGCGCTAACCGCCACCGGAGAGGCTCTGCTAAAGCTGGCAGCGGAGGGTGGATGAGTGGCGGCTGAGGTGGACAGTGGTCCTTTATTCCACGCCTCGGAATGGGCAGCGGATGCCAAGTGGACCGCCCACGGCATCCCTGCAGTCCTCGCCCCGCTCACCGGGACGCCCGGTGCACCTCTCGGCTTTTTCGCCGTTTGATGGTAAACGGTGAGGATCCGATGGCGAGCGGGCAGGTGGGAAGGGCGAGTGCCGGTGACTCGGAGGGGAGGGCACGGGATCTGGCGCGCACAGATGCGAATCTTTGAGGGTACGAGACGAGGAGCGCAAGGAGGGAAGGGGAGTCATTTTCCCTCGGGAAAGAGGGAGTCGGAGGTGACACTTGTTGCGGATTTCGATCGCTGGTGCTCGTGCGGCTATGGCGTTCTCCGCAGCAGCATCCGCGTCCACGAATTTGGTGCCCGCCGTGGCCTCTGGGCGAGGCGGGGCGGCCGCATCGGCTTCGCAGCATGGCGAGACCGCGCGCCTGGCGAGATTCGGAGTGTCCTCCTCTGCATGCGCGAATGCCTTGTCTCTGTCCTCGTCGCGCTCGTGCGCGTCGATGGGAGAAGTTTTGTGGGCCAATGGTGGTGCTGTCCGTTTGGCCGCCAGGAGGACCCTCCGTGTGCGAGCCGCCGGAGCTGGCACCATCGTACAGCCCGAAGGATTCCAGGTACTCTATCCCATAATTCTTTCTCAGCACCACAATTACTACTGCCTGCACACTTGCTTACAGAGTTTCAGACCTACCTGTGCATACTGATTGCTCTAACACCTAGCACATAATTCTTCGCCCCAACTCAACGCTCATGAGTGATTCCAAATCTTCATTTCTGTCGGATCGCGCTTGCTGCTACAAGAATCTACGGTAGATTTGTCATTATCGATACGCTCAATTGAGATAAGACTTTTCAGTTCTTTTGGTAATTTCGTCTCGATCACATTGCAGATAGTGTTAGTTTGACCCTTAACACCACTATCAACATTGTCCACTGCTACATGCACTGGTGCACATTATCACGAATGGATTGTTGCTTCCAAATGCACAGCCTTTGGAAGGTCCTGATCCATAGCTTGTGTGATCACCCTGAAGCGACCAGTCTGTTGTAATCGCTCGCTCTCTATCCCTGCTACCTCACAGAACTCTATTGTCACATTGTATTGCGGGGTTTCGCACATTGCAATCATCAGACTTTCGTATGAATGTGATCCAGGAAGAATTCAGTAGGAACTGGCCGATTCGAAGTGAATCGGCCAGTTTCTTCGTCCTTCAGATCCTTCAGAGGGTAGTGCTCATTCACCAGTACTGACCTTATTTCAGAAGAGCATTTGTTACGTCACGCATTCTCTTCTTGTTGGTTACTGTCGTGCCCAAACTGGTCACTCTTCATTAATGTCTTATTCATGACGTCGACTTTGCTTGGGTGCAGATCACATCCGTGCCCACAACACCTATTGATGGCCAGAAGACTGGAACTAGTGGACTTCGAAAGAAAGTAGGTTGACCTTTCTTTTGTGGATCGTTATTTTTCCTTCAAATTAAAATAATAGGAGGTTTCTTTTCTCATCGACGGGTAGCAAAAGAATCACATGCTATTGTTTTGAATTACTAACTTCAAGTGACTTTCGATTCCAGGTAAAAGAGTTTCAGTCTCCGAACTACCTTGCAAACTGGATACAGGTTAGTAGAATACAAAATTCGTGTAAACTAGCCTTATCGAGGTTATCCTTTCATGTCGGTGATTTCATCTTTACAATGTCGCGTCCTTACAGTCATGTCTAATGAGGTGGCTATGGGGAAATGCGAAGGGTCGTCGTGCTTATATCATCCCGTAAATGCTCCACAGGCCTTGTTTGACTCTCTTCCGGCCGAAGATGTGAAAGGTAGCACATTGGTGCTTGGAGGTGATGGTCGTTACTTCAACAAGGAAGCTTCTCAGGTTACTACAAATCTTTGGCCTGAGATATCTTTGCATTCCTAGAGAAATCATTTATCTCACCCGTATGTACCTCTCCACCAAATTTTGCCTGTGGCATATAGAAGGCTGCTAGAAGCTGACCATGTTGAATGATTCGATCTATTTTGCAGATCATCATCAAAATTGCTGCAGGAAATGGCGTTGGAAAAATTTTAGTGGGAAGGTAAGGGACTGTTTTCTACTCGTTGGTTGTTAGCGGTTCAGTGCACTTCGCATCATTACAAGATAACTATCACTGGCTGACTACAACGTGGAATCATTCATATTAACGTTGTCGTCGACATGAACAACTTGCACTCTGAACGTTTTCTTCAGACAAGTAAAACCCTTGTTCATCTACAATGCAATGCCTCTAGTGCGTTGAAATGTGAGGAAGGTCACTGTCAACGGTGTTGTTTTTTTCTGATCCATGGAATATCTTTCAGGGAAGGTATTGCATCTACTCCTGCTGTCTCCGCTATAATTCGGGCAAGAAAGGTAAGAAAAAATGCTTGAGAAAAAGGCGTTGATGGTTTGCAAGACGAACTAATCTGAAACTGCGTGAACACTGACCTCATTGTGCTTTGATTACACACAGGCGAATGGAGGTTTCGTAATGAGTGCGAGCCACAACCCCGGTGGACCAAAGTACGACTGGGGCATCAAGGTAGGATTTCGTGCATTCGTACCCACTGCGACGTGTGGATAGTGAATTCGTAATAAGAATGGCTCTGTTTCTTTCCTACATATTGTTGTAATCATGCATCCCGAAATGCAGCCTTCTATCATACACTCACCATCACTCGCTTTAAGATTTCTGTCATATTCCTTCTCTTTTGCAGTTTAATTACAGCAGTGGGCAGCCTGCACCCGAATCCATCACCGACAAGATCTATGGGAACACTTTATCTGTAAGATTATTCTTCCGATGAATATGTTTCAGTTTTTGCGCGCGCCACCTCTCCCTCCCTCCCTCCCTCCTCGCCCCCCAACATGAATAATATAGGCTTGTCTTATGATCGGCTGCGATATACTTAGTGAAAGTTCCTGTTTGATATGTCCGTATGGCCGAAAAGCATCTCATTCAGTTTCAATCGTACTGTCTACGGCACACTTCAAGGCATTCATCAAGCTTTCAACTTAGCATGATTTTGTTCAATGCATATATAATCAAAGAACAATTCTTTTTTAGTTGTTAAAGCCGTCTTTCCCTGTACTGATAGAGCCTTGACCGTCTTATTTACAGATCAAGGAAATTAAGCAAGCAGACATTCCCGATGTCAATCTTTCTGAATTAGGTGTGCACAAATTTGGCGATTTTTCCGTGGAGGTCATTGATCCTGTTGCTGATTATTTAAATTTACTGGAGGTATGATTTATCAACTTCTCGTGAAAGACACATTTATCTTGCACTATCACTGTAGCGTATCAGGTGTTTTGGATAGAGCAAGTGTTGATTGAGATTGTGTCTTGAGGGTGACTTACTGATGTTAGTGACATTGCTCATTTGACGACTCATGGGTCATATCTAACAGCTCACATAAAGGCATTTTCAGTGCTTATTGAATTACCATGTTTATATCTCAGTAGAACTCTCTTGCAATATTGACAGGAAGTGTTTGATTTCGACCTCTTGAAAGGTCTGCTTACAAGCAAGGACTTCAGGTTCGTTTCACTCTGACCTATTACTATGAATACATTCTGAGGTGTTTGCGACCTCTTACAGCTATCACTAAATTTCTCTGTCTCACCTTCTTTCCGTTACACTGATAATTCACCTCCACACAGATTCAAGTTCGATGCTATGCACGCAGTCACAGGCGCGTATGCTAAGCCCATCTTCGTGGATAGACTTGGTGCTCCAGAGGTAGGCATACCTATCCTTCCTATCCTTCCTATTCTTATGACAAAGATATTGTGGATATAGATCAGGTATTCGATGAATGAAGAATACGGTGAAGTGAAATGTGTAGTAGTCCTGTTTCGGAAATTGCGGAATTTTCTTCAAGTATTAGCATCTGGTGGTTTGTGAGAAAGCTTTTGTCATCAATTTACCCTGAAGATATATCTGAGCTACAAAAAAAGAAAGAGAAGTGAGAAGGCCTACAGTCTTTTCTTATCTTTAATCATTTTTGAATCGCCTACGCAGGACTCAATTTTTAATGGTGTACCATTGGAAGATTTTGGTGGAGGTCATCCAGACCCCAATCTCACGTAGGTGGCTCTGCTATCTAAACCTCGTGAAGTTTAAGCTGTAGTCATACGAAGATTGATGATCAATACAAGAGTTACACACCTTCGTGGCATGCATCCGAGTCGAGTAACAATGATTCAAGACGATTCATTACTCAAAATTAAGGGCGAAAATTTTGAGGTTTTTCCCCAATTTGATGTGTTGACAGATACGCAGAAGAGCTTGTGAAAATTATGTACGGAACGGATGCCCCAGACTTTGGAGCAGCCAGTGACGGTAAGATATCATTATTGTTGTAAAATAAGTCAAGGATGTCTTTACTTATTCCTTAATGGAAATCTTGTTGCATGTCTCACTTTAAATGTTATGGTTGCAGGAGATGGGGATCGTAACATGATCCTAGGGAACCACTTCTTCATTACTCCCTCAGATTCAGTGGCTATGATTGCTGCCAATGCTGATGCTATCCCCTACTTCAAAACTGGTTTGAAGGTGGGAACCTCACCAGTACCCCTTTCTTGTTCATACTTGCTTCACGTGTAGTTACGGGCTGGGTTTCGGACCATTCACTGGATTTTCTCACCTGACGGAATTGTGATGCACATCCATTCCAGAGAAGGTTTCGGCCTGGCAGGTGTATAAAAATTGTGCTAAATCACCTCTAACGTCTCTGGACTTGCAACGTGCAGGGGCTAGCACGTTCGATGCCCACAAGTGGAGCTCTTGATAGGGTCGCAAAGGAGTTGGGTCTTCCATTTTTTGAGGTTTGTCGCTTACCTGGGTGCCTCTGTGAATGTACTGTAAAACTTGTGAAAATGTATTTTTAAGTAGCTCGTTGTTTCTTGTCGATATGTGGTCAAAAGTATTTTGAACACATATTAGTAAACTCAAATATACTTCAAGGTGAACTTGATTCCAGGTTGCTATGAAAACATTTTTGTTCTTTCTGGCCTGTTTGAAATTCTATTCAATGGAGCTAGTTTGCGTTTATTCTAAATATTCTTGTTTGCTGCTGTATGTAAAGACTCCTACAGGTTGGAAGTTTTTTGGTAACTTGATGGATGCCGGAAAGTGTTCTGTCTGCGGAGAGGAGAGTTTTGGAACTGGTTCAGATCACGTTCGTGAGAAAGATGGAATCTGGTACCTTGCGCAAGCATGCCCCTTCAAAATCAATGCTCTGATTCATTGGGTAACATTGACAATCTAGCACGAAGGATCATTATCTTCGAATTAACGGGTTTCTTATCAAATCCATTTTTGTTCTTGTAGGGCGGTGTTGGCATGGATATCAATTGTGGCCTACAAGAATCGTGACAGGAAAGTAGGGGAGAAGCTGGTCACGGTAGCAGACATAGCCAAAGAACATTGGGCGAAATATGGACGTAACTTCTTTTCGCGATACGATTATGAGGTGAGTCTATGTCAAAGAGGCAAGTGAATGCTTCTATTTTCAAGAAGTATGGTCTCATAATGTCATGGTATTGCATGATGAGGAAATCTTCCGAGGCAGTCTTTTCAAATTCTAGTACGTTGCGCGATATTTGCTGCTGTATATGTAGTCATCCGGAGTCCTGCTCTTGACGATCTAAGTCAATGCAGGAGTGTGAGTCTGCTGGTGCAAATAAGATGGTGGAGCATTTGAGAGATATCATTGCGAAGAGTAAGAAAGGAGATAAATATGGTAAGGGCTCCGATGCCAACCTTTGGTTGTTCACCATGTTTTTGCAAAGATTTGAAGTTTGATTATCTTGAAGGTTTAGTGGAATCCAAACTTCAGATGTGAGAGGCAAACAATTTCAAGGTGGTTTGAGAAAATGCACGAGTCTGCTTGGGTGAATAGCATCGTTCTTTTGTAACCCAGTCAAGAGGTGGATTTCTTTGATTCCGTCGTCTGTGATTTTACAGCTCTGAAAACTTTCAATGTACAGGAAATTACGAATTGGAACTCGCCGACGACTTTGCCTACACTGATCCGGTCAGTGGAATCAGCACTGACGTCTACGACCAAATGCCTCTAGTCCATGATCAAGCTTTGCGTTCTTTTTCGAAGTGTACGTCTTAACTTGGAAGCTCCTGCATCTCACAGTTTGCTTGACAACATTGAACTCGTGGCAGATTGACGGAAGTGTAGCCACAAAACAAGGAATTCGGTTCATATTCTCTGATGGTTCCCGTATTATCTTCCGCCTTTCTGTAAGTTACTCGATGACTTCGATTAACCTTTTAGAAAATTGCCTTCCAGCTCTTTATCTCCCTTATATTTTTAAGTATTTGAATTAAGCCTCCATCTCAGAACTTTTCGACGCAGTTTTCTTATATTGGAATGTGATTACGACTCTTGATGATGGAACAGGGAACAGGATCAGCAGGTGCAACAATAAGGATATACGTTGAACAATATGAACAGGATACGACGAAACATGACCTAGATGCCCAAGATGCTCTGAAGCCCTTGATTGGTTAGTTCTCTGCCTTTTGCCTGCAAGTTCTCACTCGTGATGTATCTTGGACGATTGGTTGTGGTACTCGTTGATTTTCACTTTTAACAGTTCTATGTATTTCTACTGGCTGCCATCCTTGCAGATATCGCCTTGTCTGTATCGAAACTGCAAGAGTTCACTGGACGAACCAAGCCAACAGTAATTACGTAATTGAGCATCAATTAAGTAAAATTTTGCCCAAGGGTGGATCCCAAGATTTTTCTTCGATGTATTGTAACGTGTACTGAAAGTCATTTGTCTCTAGGCAAATGAAGACGGTTCTCAAGCACAGTCGAGAGAGCCGTCAGATCAAGACATCATGTTGTCTGATCTGTGAGTTGTACAAATCACCCTCGTATGTCATTGTAATAAGCTAACGAACGACTTTCTATAGTAAGTAGTAGGTTAGCTGACTGCATTGTCTGTCACAAAACTGATCGATGGGTTCACGGGTGTAGTGTAGGCCTTAAATGGGAAACTCCGATATAGACGATTGAGCTGCCTCAAGGTTCTGTTCTCGTCGATTGTATGAGTGTAGTGCGTGTCTGTGAAGCTCATTCCAGAGCTGCTTTGAAGTCAATTTGTGAGCTCTCCAATTCTACCAGGTGTATACTTTCGTGGATTATATTTCACCCTGTTTTATGGATGACACATGGGCTCGTAAAAATGAATAGTAAAAGGTAATGACACATCTCAGATATCTGTACCTGAAGTTCCCCGATAATGAGTTTTACGTAGAACACAACCATTATCAGTTTGAACAGGATGATGGGTGAAATGATTTCAAAAAAGTGCTACATTCCTGTTCAGAACTTAATCCAAGAGGTTAAATTTCTACTCAATCAAGTTCTTACCAATGATTATGGAGTTCAATTTCCGCTCGACGAGATATTGTCTTCTTGTCTGCTATACTATGACGTCTGCTACAGAAGACTGGAAGGGGAGGATGATGAGAAACAGAAATCTGGACTAAGTATCAACACGGATTAGGTAGTAGTGTGCTGCTAATTTATGCCATGGGCAACTCTGTTATGGAATTACTACTTCTTTGCCTTTGTCTATCGTAAGCTGCGGGAGAACGGCGTAACATAAACTTTGAGTGCTCTGTGCTCCCGCCTTTTGTGGCTTTAATCTATAGCGCAGTGGCCCGGAAGGAGATCTGAGAGAAGTTAGTCTCGACCCTGTAACCTTCCCTCTTATAGGAAATTGATGGTAGTAATCCTTGAGGGGCGAGAAATCTCAATCGGGGGATTGTTGTCTTTTCCTCCAACAGGTGTTTGACCTTTCATAACTTGGTGCACTTTCTGAATCTTCACGCGCTCTTGTGAGTTACAGATAAACAATTGTGTACTCAAAGTGCAGTCCATCAATATGTACTTGGAAAGTGTCCAACGTACTTCAAATAGTCTCCTCACTTTTCAGTTTCACTGTGCAACTCTCACATAGGATTTCTCACTTCAAAGTAGCTCCGCAAAAGTTGACCGGGTAATGCATGGGACTTTACCTTTTCTTTACTCTCATCACTATTATCTAGTTCTACCTTTTATCGAATGATAGTTTATCCGTTTATCATTTATTTTTACCTGTAATAAATTAGGCGACAAAGTGTAGGAACTTTGTAATCAACTTGTTCTCATAAGATTTCAAATGTTCATGATAAACAGGGAGCATGGCCGGACTTGAAGTACATTCACATAACCACCGAGCAGATATTAGACGAGTAAAAACATGATGTACTAGTATTCAAAACGAGTGTGATCCACTAAGATCACACTGTAATTTCTGTGATCTTTAACGACTCACTTTGTGGGTCCGAAGGACCCAACGTAGACATGGCTTGTAGATTTCCTTCTTTGCCTTTACGAAAGAAGGCGGAAGCCGAAAGCCCAAGGCCGGCAGGCCTTCAGGGCGGAAAACGTAAAGCGACTAGAGGACCCGTTATAAAGTTCTAAGATCCATCAAATATATCGGGTAGACTCGACAAATGATAATGTGTTAAATTTTCACTATTTACAATATTCCAATAATAGCATAATCAGAACCCAAAAACCCAAAAAACTTACCATTTGAAATTCTGCCACAGACTACGCAGCCAACCAATAGACTCTATGGTGGAGTTTTGCAATGGTCAAGGGTTAACCGGTAATTACTGGATAATCCATTCAACTTTAACTTTACTCTATCCGTTACCTTACTTGTAGATTAGTCTTTACCTTTTATTGATTTACTTGTAGACCAATCTTTACCTTTTACCTCTACCTTTTATTGATTTATCGGATTACAGCAAAAGGTTACCTTACCTTGCCGAGACCTACCTTAAACCATTCCGCCATTTTTACTTCTAACCCCAAAAAATAAATTGATCCATCTTCCGTAACTCCGAAATAATTGACATTATGCTCACCCTTCTAACAAAAATAAAGATGCATCAAACCATCAAATATTTCAGCGAAACTCTCGCTTGAATGTAATCGAATTCAAGGAAAATCTAAACACCTGCAAAAGAATAGGCTTGTATCTATTGCCTCATATGACGGTAAGTGAATAGGGATTCACTTAAAAAAAACTCTTATATGTAGAAGTGAAGGAGACAAAATTTAGAAGAGTTGATTAAGTGAACTCTGGATTCTTCTACAAATCATATAATTGAGATGGATTTGATTTTTATTGGTATGTACAGTGTTAAAGGAAAAAATTCATCCTCATTAACCATCAAATTCTTCTGAAAATCATTCAATTCACAATATATTTTGTCTTTTCCTGACAATTCTTCCCTAGTAACAATTTCAATCTTCTCTATATTTTATCTGAAGTCCAGATTTGATATGGAATTTTATCCCATTCTGTTAAAAAACTCTTACAGTTTAAAACAACTCTTAAAAATTTCTCATAGTTCCCCTTCTCTTACATCAATTTAAGAATACATCAATTTTGGGTACCTCAAAGAACGGGAACAATGTTTTGAATTTTTGCAATTTTAAATTGAAAGTTTCATCATGAAATCAAATAGTACTTATTATATTATGAGGGAGTAACACACGTGAAAACTGTGTATTTTTTACTCGTGTTGTTGTTACCAAACGTGTTAAATAGGAGGTGTGAAGTTCCAAGATCTCTAAGAACCATCCTTTGCACTGGCACCTTTCCCGAAGTTATGTTGGGACAAGACGAAAGGTTTCAAGATCCTGGCCAGTGAACGAAGGTAGGGATGTGTACAAGATACATGACTTATATTCACATGGAATCATAAAGAGAGCTTCTAAATGTACCGAAGCTTTCAGTTGGATCACGGAACTAGGCAAGTCGACCATCAGCTAAACTTTAATTTTGGATAATTCTGTGTCAACACCGTGATGGGAGATTATATAGGTCATCAGACTCATACGTTCCCAGCTAACCAGCTAATGAAAGTGCACGAGAATCAAATTGTGGACACAACCATTCAATCCTGAACTGATGAAAATAAACTGTGAATTACGAACATGGTTGCATGGCATTATTCCCACGGGCGTGCGAGTTCGTTCGAAGCGTTTGTTAATTGCGGTGACTCTTCCATACCAAGTGTGTTGATATGTCAACATAAGTTTTCTTCGTTCCTTGGAAAGAGGGGATGATGATGCACACGTCCGTGTTCACCGTACATAGTCCTTCAAGAGAAAGTCTACATTTTACGTAGTCGTGAAAGAGTGCATGTATGTCGGTCAGTTGTGACTGAATGATATGATCAAGTTATAAATAAAGTCTGCCACTAAGACTTGGAGAGGCATTCCATGGACAAAGATTTCGCAAAGGTGTTTTCGTTGTATCTCAACGATTGTCAAGTACATGATCATGGGAGTGATGAATTTTCATGAAGAGACGAATCATGTCAGTTTTGATACCGTGTACAAAAATCAATCGTTATGGACAGATACCTACTATAGGAAGATACGACACGTGAACGAAATGGGAAAAGACGTTCACTCGACTGGAGATATGCCTACAAGAAAGTCCAGCACATCATGAGTCGAAAACTTTCGCCATCCGACATGCTATACTATGCTGTGATGCTCAAGCGTTACTTCGATGACAGACTGGACAGTACCTGACTCAGTGAGTGGCTCTCAAATACACTGAAAAGCTCATAGCCCTTTCACTCCTTAATGGGCACCACACCAGCTGCTGCTGCTTGCCTCGAGCGAACTTGTACAAGCAATATAAGCATTTGGCTTGATCGGATTACATTGAAAATCTCGTCATGATATCTTTGAGATAACATTGGAAATTTCTGCGTGAAAGAAATACTCCGATTTCGGGTGGTACAAAAACTATGCCTCAGCACAAGCGCTCCTCGGCATCCCAAGCCCATTTCGCCTCGGACATTTGAGCAGATGTAACGTAATGAGAACAAATGCCCCTTCCTCCTGAAACAGACCACCCAAGAGCGAAACTAATACTTGTTTCTTGCTTGGTGGTTGCAAGCTACTGAAAGATAGTCCAAGCGACACCTTCCTGTTATAACTGGGAGGTAGAGTCCTTCAGCACCAATCAAAATGTTCCCGGCAATGCAAGCTGATGGTAACGGGATCTAGCACCATGAAACATCTTTCGACTTTCTCCTCAGGCTGGGAAAGAAAGCTCGCTCCAGGACACATCACAGATCCATTATCTTCAAACACATTGCTCCAGCTCTTTCATTTTCCACGCGGAGCGCTTCCAAAATAATCATTGGTAAATGTGAATGACATACGCATGGGCTGCACCGACTTCACGTTGACATTGTGTTATACAGTCGCTTCAGCCCTGGACATACGGCCCGCATCTGGGCCAGCGACGACGCACAGACCTGCAAACAGTACAATCGGTTGAGCAATATGTGTCTCACAGCAAGGCACCTCCAATAAAACTAACAAGTTACACTAAACCAGATCTTTAAACTGAAAGGGATCAAGTTTATCCGCTAATTTCTTTGCAATATCCTTCAATTGCTAAGCCCCTCAAAACAAAAACTACCAATCTAAAAAGCAGATTCCTATTCTCTTCAAGTGTGCAGAATCTGACCAAGGTTTTTAAAAAGAAGCCGATATCTAGTTTGCTTTGAAATATACAGAACCGTCAACAATCGTCGCTAACACATGCAACGATTTGATTGAAAGGTTAGAGGCTCACAAAAGAACTCAAAGAAAAACGAGATTGATGATATAGTAAGTTCGCTCCCACATTCGACGTACATGGCAATAACGAGAACCCAACATCAAGTGCAAGCGTGAAGCTAAAACAAACAACACTAATTCTAAGAATGAAGTCCACCGAAGATGAGTTTCATGTCTACCTATACGAGTTTCATACCTTCGCACAATTACGAACATCCAAAGTTTCAAGCTGAACGCAGCCCTGAATGGCAAGCTCTAGAGTCCTCGCTTCAATGCCACAAGCCTGCTTCAACGAGACAATCACAGCCACATTAAAATGGCAGCACGAAATATTCTAGCCAACCCGAAACTCTAAAGTGAGCGCAATAGGTTTCACATCAATCGGTAACTAGAGTAGAGACCACACCTGCAAAAATAAGCTCATAAGTCGAGGGCACTCGAGCTCAAGTACCACCAATCCTGCACAGTTACTGGAAAAAAGTAATGGGTAAAGTCATCAGAACTACGAACATAGAGTTCGATGTACAGTAAAAAATAATCCACTCATGCATCGAAATAAAGCATCCGTTGACCGGAGAACTACCTTCTACTATTATTAAGCAAAAGGGCAAAGAGGGTAAAAACTGGGCCAACCTGAGATTAAGAGATGTCAAGTTCGTACAAGACAGTAAAACCTCCCGAATATTTACAGAAAGAGAAAGATTAAGTGAAGTAAGCTGTGAGCAGGAGGCATATCGAGGAAGAACAACTTTCTTGATATGAGGGCAGCCGACGCAACTAAGGCTTTGTAGTGCCCTAACCATCACAATCTCTGACTCCATAGATGCGGCAGAAGGCTCAAGAGGTTCCAGTATTGTGCTAGCCCCACAATCTGAACCCGAGACCAACATCTGTGTAGAACTTAATTCTTCTGCATCCAATAAAGTTCCACTCGCCGAATTGATCACAAAGGAGTCATTCGCTCCTGACTCCTCGATGCCCGCAGCGTTGTCGTTAAAGTTGATGTCTCTACATTGAGCTAGATCCATTGGCTGACCTTGGTGGTCAAAGCTAACATCGGACGACAAGACATCTTCCATTCCAGTATCCTCAATTCCACTCAATTCTCTGGAAGCAACACCAGCCATAGGTGGAGTCGCCAAGCATGCCCACAGGAGATCCGTAACATGTGCGCATCCGTTCAAGCTCACTTGAGATAAATGCGGGCACAGGGCCATCACTCTCTCTATGGCCGAGTGGCCCAAACTCCCATAAGAAAGATCCAACTCTCGCAACTCAGGAAGCACCTTCCCACCATGTAAAGCATCAAGTGCATTATCACCCAAATACTTACATGCAGACAGCCTCAGCACCTGCAATTAATTAGAATCCAATTATCACTACAACTTGTAGAAAGAAAGACATTTTAGTCATTAAAGGTAATAGCAGGTAATTTTCTAAGAATTGGATGTGAAAGAAAGTAGACTATACCTGCAGCCGGGGGCATGCTTCAAAGATAGGTGACAGGTCAGTTAAGAATGTGTATGAAAGATCCAGCGTGGTTAAATTTCTCAATCTCTTTAAGGCTAGAAGCCCAACTGGTCCAACAGAAGGACAGGAAGCCAAAACCAGCGACTGAATAACAGGGCAAGCGTATGTCGTGGCTGTGAGGCAGTCATCACCCAATTGGCTGTTCAGTCATTCACACACACAAGAAGGTGCCCATTAGGATATTACATCGATCAACTACTTACAAAAATCAGAAGTCATATATTGCATCAAAAAAGCCAAAGGGAAGCAAGTTTTCACTCGTACATATTTTCACTCGTCAATTGCTGTTCATTACGAAGCGATAAACAGCAATTTGCTTTCTGATTCAAGTAGTGCACCTGCAGTAAGACGCATCGAGCGACGAAAGAGACGGACAGCGAATGGCGGCTTGAGTCAGAATTCCACACCCTTTTAGATCCAAATGAGTCATGTGCGATGCCTCAACCTCTAGCTTGACCAAATGTGGGCAAATTCCAAGATTCAGAGAATTGAGTCCAACCTGCAAGTGACAATCCAAAATAAGGATAGTGTGGAAAAACAGCGTCAATGGCACTGCAACTTCTGCCCGTCTCCAGCGAGCAACGAAGGTAAATCTGATCTGCAACAGCAAGACAGAAATAATTGACAACGAAATTCACCACTTGGACATACCGGAGAGAAGGAAGCCGTTTGCAAATGATCACATCCATCCAGAACCAAGTTCTGAAGGACAGGGCATGCGAGGTTGAGAGACTGTATATTTCGGCAGCCCACAAGAGAGAGACTTTGAATTGAAGAGGACGACAACTTCACCTCAGTTAAACCCTGCATCCGTAAAAATTACCGTTAAGCTGTAACATTGATATCTACGAGAACTCTTATCTCACGATGTGCCAAAACTGCTGAGAGAAAATTGTTCATCATCACTTCTCTACGGGAAAATGTAACGGCGTCGACTTCGAGGAGCAGACACTCATGCTCAAGACCATAACTATGTAAATGCTCGCGAAAAAATGCCTAGATTTATACGAAACATTCCTATAGAAAACGAAACTTGAAGATTAAGACAACTATCAAAACAGGTACGAGAAATAAATCGCGACTTTTCTCGATGACTAGGTAAAACCCTGTTAAGTGAACAACCAAATGTCGCTCTCCATCCCCTACCTCACAGCTGTCAAGAGTCAAAGTGCTTAGCCTAGGACAGCCACCGGCATTACTGAAGACGTCGCAAACTGCGTTTGTAAGTGACTCGCACTCTGTCAAGTCGACCTCTTTCAACCAAGGACACTGAAGTGCCATACTTGAAAGGCCATTCTGCTGTCTGAGCGTTAGACTCTGCAAGAAATACAATTAAAACTAGGCATAAGATGGCGAAAAAAGTATCGAAGGAGCTCAAAGTATCATAAAATTTTACTGTGAAGATGCTGACTACAATGTGAATTGTAGAACAATTCAATTCTAATTGGTCATCATATTCAATCTTATGATGTCCTCAACAAACGAGTCACCTCCTTACCACGCGGCACCATTTTCTCAGGCAGCTGACGTCAAGATAAACAGAGGCAGACGAGCAAAATGGCCACAGTTTAAGGTATATGAACTCATTGGTAGTAAATGCTGTACAAAACGACTTCTTGCCCTAGGATGTGGCGTCCTGTTTCCAGAGAGGCACATATTACACTTGATGAGGGTTTCGGTCGGAAACAGATCCACGGGCAAGGTCTTTGGAGAAGGCTTTATATGAATTGCTTAGCTGTCAGATTTTCGTATTTATTACGAAACCAGCGTACGTCCACGCAGTAAATTAACCGAAAGTAGAGTTAATTGCGAGGACAGTACACGTTTCCTCGAGTGACTCAAGCAGATCGAAGGGACTATGTAAAGTTAGGGCAGTGTGTACGTAGCTAGAAATAAACATGATGAGAGCTACCTCGATGAGAGCTAGGAAAGGATGGTCAAGCTTGATATACTATGTATACTTAGTAGACACCCACAGCCTAGAACCAGCGTACAAGGTGCGTTTGTTCAGGGGTTTCTATGCAGTCGATGGAAACCAGTCTCAGATGTCGAAAGGAACTGTGAAGGAGGAATACCACATGAAGTCGAGTACTAGGTGAGAGGAAATGATTGTGTGAACATATATGCCGTGATCGGAATGAATATTCAGGATCTTGAGATTACACATCTTGACATACATAGCATAACAGCCCACGTAATAGATATTACAAACTCATCAACGTTCATCTTGCAGTCGATTTCTTTGGCCAAGAGCCAACAACTCTGCTCGATGTACCAGCCTTAATAATGGTGATTAAAAGACATCTTCTGCCAACTGGCAATCGGATATTAAATTAGGTCTCTTGACTTGCAATCCTAAATCCCTTTACAACCCCGATAAGACACAATAACATATTTTTTCCATTCTCTGATAAAGACCACTTACGACATGTGATAATGATGAATTTCAGAGCCCGTACCTGTAGGGAGCTGGACGTTATATCAACACGGTTAAGAAAAGGGCAGTGGTTGAGATTCAGCGAGACGAGGGCAGGGCTCCGCAAGGTCAGTTCCACAAACCTGAAACCAGAAACAGACAAAGCTATTGAGACAGTCAAGGATCAAAGCTCTTGCTGGACAAAAACTTCCAGTTGCTAATATACTTTTCTAATGTTTGACCTTCAAATTAACAAACATTGTAATCTGATCATAACTTTCTCCAAGTTAGATTCCAACAGGTATTAGGTTACAACATGCTGCCTACACACTTAATTGTTAGACTGCTATGAAAAGAAACGCATAGAAAGAAAACCAATAGTGAGTGGCAGGCTTCGTACTAAGACTTTTATTAGCACCCTCTTAAGTATCTTCTACATTTACATCCTTAGAGGAACTTTAGACGCACTTTCTATTGTTGCTCAAACTAATTTGTCGAAGCCGAGGTAGGTCAAGATTGACAGCAGTCAGCAAGCAAAAGTCCATGCTCAATACCTGCAAAAAAACTAAAAATTTAGAAAGTTGACGAATAACGTATAAGCTGGAGTCCTGGTACTGAGTATGAGATGACAACTTCAGCAGTATACGATCAGGTTACTTTGAACTATTGAAGTGTTTAACTCTGGACTGTGTTGATCTGTAGTCCAAAATTAGAATGTTCACATATGGTTCACAAAATATACTACCCAACGATATATCCTGTTTGGAGTCTATACAAACGACGTGATATTGTAACAAAGAACAGTGAAACCAATCATTCTTGGTTCCTGCCCTATATTTGCCGATCAGATGAATATTAACTAGTTTCACATTGTAAGGATCAGAAGCCTGCTGATGTTTTATATTGAAGACAGACAGACGGGCAGATGCGCAAGAGACCTCAAGCATAGCACAGCTTGATAATGCCGCCATGGACGACGAGATGATACCCTCGCAACTTTGCAGCTTCAAGTCTATGAGCATTGGCATCCGAACACCCTGAAAGGAAAACGCCGCGCTATGAATCTCATACCATGATAACCATGCACACAACCCCCAAGGAACTCACCAAGATCCAACAACGCTTTCTACAGATAACACACCTGCTGTGAAGACAAAACACGTATACCTTAAAAGCTAATAAATAACACGTGCAGGTCCTTTCAAAACCAACCAACAAAGATGAATACTATAGCTCTGATCTTGCTTCAATATACTCCACAAGATCAACTTTCGCAAACTTGTGCTCACCTCCAACGAAATGTTTGGACAATAAGATGCATCTAAAGTGCGGAGATTGTTACAGGCGATTGAGATTTCCCGTAAAGTCTCGTCACTAACGTAAGCACAGTTTGAGATATCCAAAGATGCGAGGAGTGGACAAGCTGTTGCTGCTGCTCGAACGCCTGCATCAGATAACTTATGGCAAGAAGATACGTCCAGAGTTAAGAGCCGAGGACAATGTAGCATGGCAGAAGCAGTCCCGGTTCGCTTCAGGCAGAGATATTCCAGTTGAGGGCACCTGTAAGTAACACGACTACGTCAGATGAAAGACAGCTGCGGCAGCAACAATATCGTAGGAATGAATTAAAAGATTATCGAAAACATCTCCAACGATCAATGGTTTCTGGGTCATAACCTGATGGCAATGCGCAGCACACGGCACTTCTGAATCTGAAGACGACGTAGTGAATCATGACGAAGTTGGATTTCTTGTGCACCACCGTTACCCAATACTGCATCCGTGATGCTCAAGTGCTGTAACGCAGCGCACTCCAGCGCTAACGCGTAGAAAAAACCATCACTCAAAAATCCACGACCCAGTGTCAGGACCTCCAAGTTTCTGCGTCATAGTCATCAAAGAGATTCACCATACATGAGATGGATAACTAATCCAGCTTACTCAGAACGGGACTCACTAACTTCAATACACTTGGTGTAGATAACACGGGAAAAAATGGAGACTCAATGCTCGGACCGGAGATTTACCCACTTGTAAACACAGAAGAGCCAGAATCTCTTGAATATATATTAAAAAGACCACTAACCTCAGTGACCGCATCGCCTCTCGTACTAGCACTTCATCTACACATGGAGCTCCTCGTAAATTGAGTTGGGTTGCTTTCGGGTACCTGACACAAAGGCGACCAACTGATGGGTGCGACGCACCTGTTACAACCCTTGGTCGATAAGGTCTGACATTTATTGGGTGACGACCTAATGAGAATCAAGGGAAACTGTGATGGCAATGATAGGGTTCGTAATAGGTCTGTAAATTATAGCTACTGGGCACCCACTCATACATTTTAGGAAGACGTGTATTTCTTTAGCAAGACTGAGCACAAGTACTCAATAAGAGTGGTAAGAGAAAGACTGACGTTAAAACCACAGAGCAATTGTAGTCTACCCTGCACAGTGCGAATGTGATAAGAAAGCGTTGTCCATACAGCTAGTTTCGTCCCTGGATGAACTTTGAGGAAACAAAATCAACAGGATTCAAGCAGAAATATAGTCAGAAACGGCGGCATGGAGACGCTGAAAGAGTTATTTTCAAGTCAAGTTGAGAGGCTTCGATCAATGCCGTGAGAGACTTTACTCAATAAACATGTTCTAGGCAGCCACGAAGGGATATGCCAACGTATATTCCATTGATGAACAAGAATCTAGCCGCTATTATCATTATAACCATGAATAAAGCCAGGACGGGATGTATAAGCATAAAGTCCAGAGTTAAAGAATTAATAGCTGGCAAAAATCCAATTAGAAAGGCAGGTACGTTGACCAACTCGGGTTGAATAAATTTCAGCACTGGACGGGAGGGGAACGCGAGATCTGACTAACAAAAGTCTGTTGACGACACCCAAGGAAAAATCATGGCTAATAGTATAGGTTTAAACCACACACAAAACTACTAACTGACTTCCATCATCGTCACATTCGTGGTTACTCCATAAAAAGACACGCCGTTGAGTAGGTAAGCACTGCCCCGAAGGGCCTGAGAATAACTCCAAATCCAACACAAAACAAAAGCCAATTGCCCAAACCTAAGGTAAATCATGGCTATTACATAAAACTTGAGCTAAAGTCGGTGGAGCCAGCGAATACATAAATTGCTAATAAAGAAAATTGAATTCCTGAACATCAAGCTTTGAAAGGGCTTCTGGAAAAGCTCTTTATAGTGAAAAGTAACCTGTATTTTAATAAAAGTAACCATTTCTTAGGAAACAAGCTAAGGGCATCGCAGAATATGCGGGTATGATAATTGTTACGTTTCAAACTATTGATTGGCATGGAAGTTTGTACAGGTCTGTACCCAGTGCGCTGTAGTGGAAGGTGCGAGCTTGGCCTTGAGAAAAAACGTCAATGGCTCTCTATACAGATGGCTTCGTTGAAATAGAACCATAATGTTGAACTTCTTGAAGTTGATAACCCAATCCAGCATTCGTGATGATAAGTAAGACTTGTGGACTAAGATCTTTGTACGGGTGCAAGAAAATCACCAATTCTAAACACTGTAAAATTCGCGCAAGAACAGATAATATTGAGTTTGAAAAGATTGTAGGACTTAGCAAAAATACAGACCATTTCCCATACTGACTAATTCCAGTTCGCAGCGAATATGGTGTGTAAATCTGCTTATATGAGCATGAGTTCGTGTACTCGCTGACTTTTTCCACCTTATCGCAACAAATAGAAGGATATTGTTACATTCTTAAGATTTCGCTAAAAGAGGAAGATTACTAAGAGAAAGGTAGCCTCGAAGACTTAGGTTGTAAGCCTTAAGGACCAAGGTCCTATATCTACTTTTTATTCTAAATACCGTTAAATTATCAACCGCAGAATAACGAGCTCGTACGTCATACGTGTACCCACTTAGTAATAACAATGGAAACAAAGAGTACATAACAAAAAACAGCAAATCTTGTGAAAACAATACTAAGGAAGAGAAGTGAACATGCAAAAAAACAGGAAAGAGAAGTAAAATGAAACTAACTGATTAACCAGTCTTGGGAAAACAATAACGGAGTAGTATGGAAGGGCAAAGACAACGCGAAAAAGTCATCCAGTAACCAAAAACTGGAAAGAGAAGCGTCACATACACTACTCTAGCGAGTTGCATACTTTTCTGCACTCCACCCTGCGAAGCTGCAAGTAACTCGAATCCCAACAAACCAGAAACATATAGATGGCTGTCGCTCAAAGCAATCTTAGATATAGCCCTCTTTCTGTACCAAAGGAGGAAGTAAACAGAAGCTAGAAACAGAGAAAAGGAGGGAATGTAGATAACAGACACACAATAGTACATGTTTTGGTTAAAAATTCTGTTCTGACTAAAATTTCGAACTATATGAGCCTTCATGCATTCATTTCAGATCACATTTGTCACTCCACACTTCACGTACATCACAACCTCGCCCACAAACAGCATTATTAAGCATGACCAGTCTGGAGACTGTGTGCGTAAATATCACTAATAGACTCCCCACGACAAAGCCACCAGTAAATCAAGCTCAAAGTATTCTGAAAATACCTTGTTCGTGGCTGACAGAGCGGTTTTCAAAGTTCAATGACTTCCAAAAGTCTTCATGAGTACTGGCCACCCGCCACTGCTTACAGACCATGGCTGCTTGACATAGTGCGGTGTCATCAAGGAACGAGAACACCTGCGACAAATTCATAACCAGACAAACGTCAGTATATAGTGAATCTGTCCAAAGATGAAAGAACTAGCAGCTAAGACAAATATGACAAACCAACCGAGCATCAGAAGGCTAAATGCGGAATGACTGAACTTAAGAACCTTCTACTTATATAACATTGCTCTAATCAGCTCCAGCGTCGTACTTTGTGCAACAAATCGTCGGTAAGGTCCATCCGCATTTCACCATCTTCCATGTCACCATGCACAGTATTTAACCCTCCTTCATCGCCATCCTCGCCCCCTGCATCATCTGATTCCATAGGTTCCCTACCATCACTTCGCGATGGTGGTTGCAAAGGCCCTTCGTGATGGGGTGGCTGACGGCCGTGTTGTTCCCATCCATTGGGTGAGTCAGGTCGGGAAGACGAAGATGAAGAAGGAGACGACCCGCGCGAAGGCAAAGATGAGTGGCGTCTTCGACTGGAACAACCAACCAAAAGTACTGTATATTACTCCCGTGAAAACTCAATAGAATTAGTCCGCAAAAACAGAGATGGAAGACTTCACTCGCATATTCAGCATTTTCATTTACGTATTCGATGTAAGAAACATAAGACTTAAGGAAGTACGCAGTAGGCCAGCTTCGGGTACATAAAGACTATAATGGGATCAATAGAGCGGCCGCAGTTTCCGTCTAAGAAAACGCTCCACGAACCAAAGGGTCAAAGAAGTTTGATGCGCTGAAGATAATCAAGAATCCGTTGCGAGTACAAATTTAGATTTCCGAAATCCTTCTGCCATTGGTCTCAGAATCTATCTTGGGAAAGATATGGAATAATTGTACCAAAAGGTCAGACGCTCGTCCAATGTTTAAGAATGACGTACGCTGCTAATGGGAGGAACCTTGCTCGCTTAGGGTGAATTTTTTCAGCACCAGATAACTTCTTCCTCTCTGTCCGCGTTAACTTCATCAACATTCCTCCTCTTTGTGTTGTAACGCGCTGAAAAGCTTCAATTTCAAGATTGACTTCCACGGGCGCACCAAACGGTATCCTGTCTGTATCATAGAATGATCCTTCGAGGGATGAACGAATCTCAAAGTCCATCTCAGTATCTTCGGGTAACAAAGCACCAGGCCCCAGGTAAGTATAGGCCATGTTGATTGACTCCCTCAACCGATCCGCACTCAAAATAGGTCTATTATTGTCCAAGCCAGGATTACTGGCATCCGAGTCATTACCCGGAACGTTTAAAGTAAGACTAGGACCGCCCGAACTTCGGCTCGAACTTTCACCGGAGCTAAACTTAAGCATTTCCGAAGACACGGGGCGAGCTGCCACGCTTTGCGCAAGTTCGTCCGAATCGCGGCGTCGATGTGTTGCATCTATTCTCGTAAGACCATCAGGGCTTCCGTTGTAATCAATCCCGTATAACTTCCAGCGCTCGATGCCTTGAGGAGAGTGAGCCAAGGACGGTGCAAAAGATATAGGTCTCAGTTCCCTACCAAAAAGTCTCACGGGAGGTGAACGTAATTCGGAAGTAGGTTGCTCGTTCTTCCCGCTTCTCCGAAACGAACAGCCCTCCCCATTCATTACCAGAGTTTGTAGCTTGGGTTCAGGAGTGTCCGTATGCTCTTGCTCGGTACTAGAACCGGCCCCTGTGTCGCCTTCCCTACGAGCTGCTACGCCTTCATCCCTAAAGATTAATCTCTTGCCCCGCATGTTGCACTGTGTGGAAGAAAAGTCGGCCCCTCGGGGAGGCCCTCCCGTTAGGTTATGAATATCCACTTCTCCGGAAGCTGATTCGGATGTAGTGATAGCTATTTCCTCCCAGTACTCATGCGATCCGTCAGCGTCCATTTGCCGGACTTCTCCGTGGTAGGCAATGAGAGATCGACTGAGATTGAAATGTGTACCCTCCTCTACCAGAACCACGCTTTCAAATTGACTGTGCCGAAAAAAGAGGCTAAGATGTAATCAAGGATGCAAGCGCTCGCATCCGAAACTCAAGCAGCTAACCAAAGAAAGGAAAATAGGGCAGTACCACGAAGGATGATGAAAAGTAGCAAATACTGCAGAGCGAGCATGCGCCTGAAAAATCCAAAGGTGACAGGAAGATGGAGCAACGAAAAGATGGAACACCGCGAGCACGACTGCCCCGAGAGAATGGTGCCACAAATTGCCAGGAATCGCATGCGGTGAAACTACCATCAAGCTCCAAAACCCTGACCAAGATCAAGAAATAAGAGGGTCCTCCTGCCTCCTCTCCCTCGCGGAGAGCTCAAATCTCCACCACTATCACTACCACTACTCCGCTCTAACCTTGCAAGGAGCCAGGCCTCCACCCGTCCACCTCCCACGCAAGTATTGCGCCCGAAATATATTTATTTATATATTTATTTATTTAATCGATACGCTTCCCCTTCGCTCAGACCGCCATGAGTCGCGCACCAGCACCTGCCCTACCCCGACGCTCTGCACTTCCCTCTACAACAGGCAGCGGCCGAACGGACGGACAATGCGCCATGGCCCTCTCCTCGCTGTCTGCCTGCCTCCCCACTACTGCTACTCCTCCTGCTGCCCCCGCACTTCTTCGCCAAGCTTCATCACCACACTCTCCTCCTCCTGCTCGCTCCTGCTCGCTCGCTCGCATACCTGAGACCCTGCGACCTGCGCTGCTGCGAAGTACGAGGTACGCTCGTCGTTCGCTTTCTACCTCCTCCTCCTCTCGCCTGCTCCTGCAGCTCCTCCTCCTCCTCCTCCACCTCCTCCTCTCATTTCTACATCGCCTCGTCCTCGACCCTCGCTCTCGCCGTCGCGGCCCTCTCTCGACACAAGACAAACGTCCACGGAGCGTCTTTGGCTCTTTCCTCACCCCCCGCCCCCTCCCTATGCCTCTACCGCTCGCCCTCCTCGCTCGTCCTCGAGCTGCTGCTGCTGCTGCCGCCTCCGCTGCTCGTCGTCGTACATTTCACACGCCAGAAAAGTTACAGACAGAGCGACAGACAGACAGACAGAAAGAAAGCGAGCGAGCGCGGGCACGCCGAGACACGCCGGAGCGGAGCGGAGCGGAGACAGGTGGAACAACGGAGTCGGACCCGCGCCAGGACAAAGATCCATCGAACGCTCCGAAGTCGGTTCCAACGTCCGCCCCCAGTCCTAGCCTAGCCCGCCCTCGCCCTCCTTCTCCGCGGCCTAATTCCCTTCCCTTTGCTTCGCCCTCCGCCAATTTTAGCTAGCCCGGCCCCGGCAGCACCTCCCCTCTACAGGCTTCTCTCCCTCTCCCTCTCCTCCTCTACGTACCGCGGTTCGTTACACATACGGTTTCGGGGCCCTTTCGAATACCGTACCTACCACCAGCACCGGCCGGTCGGTCGGTCGGTCGTGCTCGCTCGCTCGGCCTGGGGCCCTGCTGCTCCCCCGTTCGCGCTTCGAACTGCCTCTTGCCCTTGTCCCCCACGCACACTCTCCTAACCACCGTACTCCCCTTGTCTCTCGAGGGACCGACGACGACGCTGGATGGATCATTGCTGCCGTGAGTATATTTTTTTTATTTTGAGCCTCTATGAAACCCATCTAATTCGCTGAATAACCTAACCAGCCATATATATATATCCCCGACGCGGTCCATCTTTGGCATTGTGAGAGCGAGGAAGTAGCGCCGCCGAGTCCGTAAAGGGTCGAAAAGCACCGCCGATGAGAACCCGGCATTTAGTCAGTGCTTAGAACTCTCTCTGTCTCTGAGTTGTAAGAGCTACGGAGCAACTCCATCGAACCTACGCCTTCTGAAAATCCTTCAAACTCCCTTAACGATATTTGTCGACGACCTTCATCCGATCACTACTCCCGACTTGATTCGGTCAGTTCTTCCATCTTAGAGAATTGTTGCAACTCAATGGGTCATTTGTTGTAAATAAATAATTTGGCTAATACTTTGGCTTACCATGCTGAAATTCCAACGGCAAATGAATTCTCCAAGTTACGGGGCTAGTATGGATTTAGCAACATACATGCTTCAAATTAATGCAAACCAAATGGGAAATCTGAAGTATAATGTTCAAATTAATCTTCTTAAATATAAATATAAGTTGTTTATAGGAATCATTGTTTCTTTTGACACCTTGTGAAACCTACATACTAATAACTAGTATGATAATATCATTCTTGCCGACATGCAATCGGCAATATTGACTTCTTAAACTAAACAATAAAGGTGTGTATGCAAACACTTTTTCGTCAAAACGTCAAATTTTCTTTACCAAAAAGAAGAAAGTTTGATTTGTAGAAAAACATGTTTTATGATTATATGCAAATGTTGCTATATGATGTAATATTTTTTCACCCCACCAACTTATTTTCTTTTCTCATTCATATTCATATTTAGTGGTTTACATGTAAGTCCAATTCTAATACAATTATTCACAATCAAATCAAATGTTTCAATAGGAATGGACTAGTTCATCCAAATGTGATTACAAAATTGATATTATATGATTGCATATGATGACATATGACTCACACAAACAAGAATACAGATCCTTTTTTGATATGTGCATGTAATAAGTACAAGTTTCATAAATATGCAATGGATATGTGTAGAATACATAAACTCTACAACTATATAGAAACAAACAACATATACAATAGCATGTACAAACCTGTCTACCAAGTTGTTGAGAGTCATTGTTGATAAAGAATTCCTATTATATGGAGCGTATAAATATGAGTCAAGTTACAAGATGCTTCAGTCTCAAGAACAACATTTTCACAATTCATCTATCATTTCCCTTCATGCACAAATTTTTTCCCAAGTTCTACTTGGTTTATTCTTCAACATTTTTTTGAAACCCAGAATATTTATTTTATATTTCCTTCCTTGATAAATTTACAAAAAAAAATTTATCTCAAATATCATAGCCAATTTTTTCAATTTAGAGTGTCAATTACTCTCCTTATCAAAAGAAGATGTTAAAAAAAATTTGCAAAAATACTTTTTTAAAATCATTATATTACTATTATAGGAATATATATTTGTTTTGATTAAATTAATCAAAGATATACACATAAGTATATAGAAGCTTTTGGAATCCAAGTTTGAAGTCTTTCTGAATATTCTACCTACCCTAATAAAGATAAAAAACAATTAAAAAATTAATATTAAGTCTTTGTAATAATCTAATATCTGAAAAAGCACATATCACAACCCATACATTCAAGTTTAAACTATAATTTAACTTTGATTTTGGTACTATATCAACTTGTGCATGAAATTACTTATTCATGTTGTATTGAATTAGTCATAACCTTCTCTACAGGTCATTCTTTATTATAAAATGTTCATATTTTTATTTAAAAATAGTAAATATTGATAAAATTCAAAATTTTTCCTTAAATCATTTGCAAAAACTTTTGATGAGCATGTCAACTCACAAACTAACATTTAAAAATATGATTTTGCATGTAACATTAACATCGTATATTTCACTCTCCACATTAAAGCTCAAACAAAAATAATATAACATCGATTGAAAGAAAAAAACATTAATAATCAAATTTCATTAAATAAAAATAAATTTATTTATTTACCATAATATTCGCTAATAAAGAAAATTCGAAGAATAATTTTTGAATATATATGTGATAATCAAATATTTCAACATCATCCACATTATAAAGAATGTCACTGTCATTGTCAAATAATTTCAACATGCACTATGATGTGGATTTAGTATCACTAAATACTTTTGATTCTAACATATTATTTTGTCTAATATATTATATAAGATTAAGTAAATTCATATATGAAAGAAAAAATAATTTGTACATTGCAACGACAACAGACACAAAGCTAAAATTGTTTCAAAAAGTAAACTTGAAGGATTATCAAAACCAAAAGGCTGGTGTTTTTAAAAATTAACTATATTGTTTAACTACATTTTTTTCAAAATTTACAATAAAACTAGACAATTCAATACCTCATGAACGAAATTACCCATCATTTTCAAAACTTTTATTTTATACGCAAAATGCCAATAATACAAAAAATATATCATACCCCAATTAACCAATATATATGCAAATAGAACTTTGTGACAAAAAAAACAAAACTATGTCGTAAGATGTTTGATCTAAAAGAATTTATAATTGATATTTAGTTACTTTTACTATAGTTGTTATGTTACTGATCTTTATGACAATAATTTATACTGTTAATCATTTGTTTCATTTATAGAAGATCAAAAGATTATATTACATGTAGAGCTACAAGTTGTTTGAGTATATTCTAAAGTTATGTTCAAATCTTATAAGCTTAAATTCTCATTTCTTGTACTTTTCAAATAAAATCCAACATGCATTGTTTGCTAAATGAAATTAAGATGAATGTATTGCATCAAACAAAATACATGATACAGTTATTATAACAAAGCTATGCATTTTTTAAACATGTTAGCAGAAAAATTAACACTTGAAATTCTCGTTGAAATGATTTTATAATAAATATTGTTCATGAAAAATCCCACTAGAAGTATTAAAAACTATAGTTTACATATGATTTGAAATTTAATAATTCCAATTTTTAACAATGAAATTCTATAGCTCATATTTAAAAAACGTGTTAAAATTTAGTGAAAAGTTGTATTTAGATTTTTTTTGAAGTTGTTACTAGTTTGTCTCTTGAATATGTCTTGTATTTTCAAGCTACACAGTATGTAATCGTGCATCTCATATATGAATATGGTTGTGCTTAAAAAGTCATAGATATCATTTTTGCATTTGATGAACATGGAAGTCATAAATCACTTATGCAATTGTTGTGATTAAATGTAAAAAACTATATATTTTACTATGATTTGAAATTTAGAAATAAAAAAATGAAAAAAAAATTTTCAATTTAATCTAATATTAATATATCATGTATATATTTTTTCGAAAGCAATAAATTTACAATTAACATATTTTATTTATGAATAATTTTGTTGACAAATGCAAATTTATTATGGCACAAAATATTATACAAATAAAATTCAAGTTTTTCCATGTTTATCACTATATTTTATATGTTTATATTTATCATAAAAAACTCATTATGTATCAAATTATGCGTCAAAATTACAACATGTAGAGAAATAATCACGTAGGATATATCAAATTTTATTATCACTCCACTCCCTGTAAAACAAAAAATAAAAAATAAAAAATTAGAAACTTTCTTAATTCTTGCTATTTCAACAAGTTTGATAACTGATAACATCAAATATTTTAATTCATAAAGCTTTAAGACATTGTATCAAATTTGAAATATGTTATAATTGAATTTAATAAATTTGTTCGGCCATGTCTAATTCAATAAAATAATCAATTTTTAAATCATGCATATATAAAGAAATATGTATTTTGGATAAAATGTCTAGATTAAAGTAATTTTTATTTTATACTTTTTTAATGTTAAAAAATATCTATCAAACAAATAAAACGAAAATGGATTAGAGAAAATTGATATATCATGGTATCAATTTGTAATATTTTTTTAACATTAAAAGAATAAAAAAAATTATTGTAATTTACAAAATTTATCCAAAATAAGAGAGGAGTAAAATTCAATATATATATATATATTTATATATATAAAATAATTTTTTTTTATAATTTCAAGTTGATAATTATCCAATAAATATTATATTATATAAAAAATTAGTGAATTAAAGAGTATAATATTTATCTATATTTCATACTATAAATTAATATTGTATTCAAAATATATATTTTTGGACAATAGAAAATTATGTAGGATCAGATATTTGATGTGTATGAAAATGATTCTCTTAAGATTGAATTTGAAACTATTTTTTTTTAAATATATGTATGTGCTAATTGCATAATTTTTCCGTATTAAGATGAAATTTAGTTTGAAATGTTTTTGAATAAATCAAACCAAAAAGAGTTATTATGTACAAGCACATTTTTAAAATAAAAAATATTATATATATAAGCTAAATTGAATGTTGTTGCTAAATTAAACTACTAACAACAATTAAGTCATATACTAACATCAAATTTTCTGTAAACTAATTTGGATCAATTTGTAATTAATGAAAAGATTGAAATATGAATCATGTTTTTCTCTCAATTAATTAAAATTTTATTTGATTCATGAATAAGATAAATCATGAAAACCTATAACATATCAAATACTATGTATATGATATTCTTTTTTCTCGGAATTCATCATTTTTTTTAC